ACAGAGAAATTCATTGGTTAGGAGACTCGTAGAGTGGAAACCAAGATCATGGCATCCGGCCCTGTCAATTCCTGACAAATAGATGGGGAAGAAATGGAGGTAGTGACAGATTTTATCTTCCTGGGCTCCAAGATCACCACATATGGGGACTGCAGCCAAGAAATTAAAAGACGCTTGCTCCTGGGGAGGAAAGCTATGGCAAATCTAGACAGCATACTAAAAAGCAGAGACATCACCCTGCCAACAAAAGTATGTATAGTCAAGGCCATGGTTTTCCCAGTTGCAATGTATGGCTGTGAAAGTAGGACCATAAGAAAGGCTGAGCGCCAAAGAATTAAGGCCTTTGAACTATCGTGCTGGAGAAGACTCCTGCAAGTCCCCTGGACTGCAAGGCGATCAAACTGGTCAGTCCTAGAGGAGATCAACCCTTACTGCTCTTTAGAACAAGGCTTTTCAACCAGTGGTACGGGTACCAACTGTGGTACATTGGCACCTGGCAGGTGGTACGCGACCATCCTAGAAAAGTGGTAGCGGGAGGGGAATGAGCTGAACCGGTGGCAGCACTGCACAAGCCTGAGCGAGAGATGGCTGGAGCTGCGGGGCTATCAGGGCTCAGCGGAAGCACCAGGATCAGTGCTTCTTCAGGGCTGTCAGGGCTCAGTGGAAGCACCAGGATCAGTGCCAGGCTCCAGCTGGAGCTCGGCGCTCATCCTGGTGCTTCTGCTGAGCCCAGAAGAAGCGCCGATCAGCATCTCCAGGGTCTTGTGATTTACATTCAGATGCTTGGCAACTGATTCATATTTATGACGGTCACAGTCTCCAAGGATCATGTGAAGTGACCAAAACCTGCTGCAACCACTCAGCAGACGGGGGGAATAAAAACCAAACACCCCCCACCTCACCCCCGCTGCCAATCCTCAACAGAAATGCTCACAACAATGAAAACCTCAGACAGGAGGAAGAGCGCCACCAGCTGGGCAGGCAGGTGTCTTGCTCAGCTGTGCCTTGGGGGGCACTTTTTTCAGTGCCATTGTAACTTCGAATAGTCACTAAGTGAATTGTTGTAAGTTGAGGACTACCTGTACTTCATCACTTCCCCCCCCCCTTTTTTTTGGGTCATCAAGTTTTTGACACCTTGCTAGTCGACTGGTGGTACTCGGGTATTGCCATATCCTACAAGTGGTACAATGGATGAAAAGGTTGAAATGCCCTGCTTTAGAAGGCCAGATCCTAAAGTTGAAACTCAAGTAGTTTGGCCACCTAATGAGAAGGAAGAATTCACTGGAGAAGAGCCTAATGCTGGGAAAGATGGAGGGCAATAGAAGAAGGGGACGACAGAGAATGAGGTGGCTGGATGGAGTCACTGAAGCAGTGGCGTTAACTTAAATGGACTCCAGAAGATGGTAGAGGACAGGAAGGCCTGGAGGAATGTTGTCCATGGGGTCGTGATGGGTCGGACACGACTTCGCAACTAACAACAACAAGAGTGGAAAGGGCTTGAATCTCTGAAATCCTTCTAGAATGATTCAAGATTCTGCTAAGGTAGTTCTGACAATTGAAATGCTTGGAACTGCATGTCAGCTGTAACTATTAGGCCTCAGGAACCAAGCAGGTGGAATTACTTCTCAAAAGTTTCCTTTATTGTTCCTCTCCTATAGACAGAAATCATGCCAAATTATTATTATTATTATTATTATTATTATTATTATTATTATTATTATTATTATTATTATTATTATTATTATTATTAAAATTAATTGACTGCTCAACTTACCACAAGGTAACTCTGGGTGGTTTACAATATTAAATACTGTATACTCCGAGAATTACTAGGGAGGAGTGTTCTTAACTGTCTTTCCCCCAACCAAACTAAGCTTCAATATCTCTTGTCCTCTGGAATGAAGCCTCTCCCTTAAAATAAAAAGTTAGATTCAGGGGGCAGAACTACTAGGAAATCCCAGACTGCAGATTAACTTGAAAAGACCTCTTTAGGAATCCTGGAAGGTCGATGGCTAACTACTCCTGTTATGAAAAAACAACAACATGGAAAGTTCCATGTACCATAGTACTGAAAGTAATATTCAGTTCTCCCTTTACCGTAAGCCATGGGCCACCACCACTTTCTCTAGAAACAGCAAATAATTAGGGAAAAGAGAAAATGTTTGGCCTCCGTTGAGTGATGTGCCAATGTTTAAGTGCCAACAGTTTCACAATCAGTTGCTCTCCCAAAGACCCTCATTTTCAAAGTAAAACTTGAACCTTTATAGGGCAAGTATTTCAACCTTAATGCATTGGACCAAATGACAGCTGTCCATGGATGATGCTTACTTAGTGGTTGAACTCTTGAGTCCAGATGTAACCATGTTTCATGGATTAATTCTGACATCTAGTGGTCACATCCTCTATTTGCAGTTGTGTATGCAATCCTTTATTTGCACAAGAAAGCAGTAGCAAATCAGTATTGTGCCAAGAAAAGTACACTGGATAGGTGTGCCCATAAAATCACCAGTTTTATAAAGTCTTTACTTTACAAAAGACTTTATTTTGAACAATGGCATAAACCTGATTGACACACCATGTTAAATTATAATGTGAATTGTTTGGTTTTAGCTCAACAAAAGTGATAGTGATCTGGTCATTTTGTCCCCTTTTGGGGTTTTTTTTGGATTGCCTTTGATTTTCCATCACATTAGGATCTACTCCAATAACTTCTGTTATCATATCATATGGCCAAATAGTTCAGGGTTAGCTTTATTATTCCTGCATCTAAAATCAGTCTGATTTCACCTCATCTCTTTTTGAATGAGTTCTTTTTTTTTTTTAATCCCAGATACTCTCAACCATTGTCTTTGATGCCACAAACCAAAGGAGATTTTCAACCATCCAGGTCCTCGTTGTCCCAACAATGTTTTTTCAAAAAGGCAAGGATGATGACTGCAAGGAATATAAATCCTTCCATTCCCTACCATTCAGTCAGAACTGAAGAAGCTTCTTGGATGAAAAGGAAAAGGAAAAACAAAGAAAGTCCGGTTGCCTCATGAAAAAGCACTTTTGGGACAATTCAAAGGCATCTATTTTTCTGTGTTCAGCCTTCCTGATGTCATTACTCATCGTCATTTGTTACAACTGGCAAAGCTGTGATGTTGACAATACACTTCTTTGTTGTCATTGTGATGTCTTCAATATTTTGTCTGGATCTGTCATGGTATTTCCCCAAGTAATAGACATCATTGTATTGCATGGTTACAGTTACTATCCCTATGAAATTTTGAGCCTAGAAAGATGAACCCTGTCCATTTTCAAATTTGCTCCACCTTTTAACATCAGGTAAGGTTGACACTACCTATTGACATGATTTTAGGATTTTTAATACGAGGCAGCAAAACATCTGAACAGAGTTTTTGTCTTCATATGCTTTCTACATGTGTGGGCATTTTTCTTGCTTCTTCTTTAATAATGTCACAAGTTTCAGTCCATAATTCTTCAATCCATTAAATTTTTCTTTCCCTTCACTTAGAAAATCTATGAAAGCCGTAGAACTTTCAGTTGATTATGTGCCATAAAGTCATTTTTGACAACTTGGATCAGTGTTTCTCAAACATGGCAACTTTAAATGTCTATGGAGATTCTCGGTCAGGCAGGTCATGGTTGTCCCAAAGGTGCTTTTTCAAGAAAGTTCTTGAAAAAGCACCTTTGGGTTGGCAACGTTTAGATCTGTGGACTTCAACTGCGTGGGGTGGGGGATTCTGGGAGTTGAAAGTCCACACATTTTAAAGTTGCCAAGGTTGAGAAACATTGACTTAGATAGATTTTCTCCATGGTGATCCTGACATGGTCTTTCAGTTCTTCCAAGGATGCACCGATCACCACTGTAACTGAATTCATCCATTTTGCTGCTTGTCATCCTCTTCTTGTCTTTCCCTCCAGCTTTCCCAGCATTTGAGTCTTTCCCAGGGAGCTAAGTCTTTGCATAATGTGTCTGAAGTAGGATAATTTAACTAGTCATTATTGCCGCCAGTGACAACTGTGATTTGATTTGTTGCATGATCCATCAGTTTTCTCGTCTGTTCACAATATCCTCAGGAGTCTTCTCCGACATTAAAGTTCAAAGGCATCAATACTCTTCCTATCCTGCTTGCCTACCCTACAAGGTTCCATCCAAAAAAAGTGCCGGAACTCCGTTCTGGGCGTACTATGAGAAAAAAAAGCCCTGTGGTTGTATAAAAGTCCAACTTTCGCTTCCATAGACTGTATTGCTATCTTTAGTTTCTGATACAATGGGTTTAAATTGCCTTGGACACGGTGAGTCCTCATCACTATAAAAAGGCAGGGCTATACTGGATATCAAATGAATACATGCAAGCAAATAAATCTATGCTATTCTGTCGGGGCTGCAAAAAAAAGCTCCGGACGACAGAAAATCGCTGCTGGCAGGATTTACGTTGCTAAATATATACTGCACCATCTTTCCCTGTCCGATTCGCTCATTCATTCTACTGGCAGTCTCGGTCTTCCGGAAACACGCCCCTCACCCCCGCCCCTTCTGAACTCCCGACCTATAGAAAACAACTTTGGAAAGAAGGCGGGACCAGATTGGCGCAGGCGTATATACCTAGGGTTAAAAAAAAAATGCTTTTCTATCGCGCCCGCCCGCCTCTGGCTCCTCCTGCGTTTTAAGCACGCGCGCGCCGGCTCCATGCGTTCGCAGTCCGGTTTCTTCCCGGCCTCGGAAGATTCTGCCCAGACGCGGGCGGGCTTTTTTTTTTTTAAAAAAAAAAGCCTTGGGAGGGCTCCTCGCTCGCGCGCGTGCGCGGTAGACAGGCCCGGTGGAGGGTCAGTATCAGGGGAGCGGAGTTCGGGAGGAGCCGGGAACGGCGGGGCGCCTTCCTGGGCCTGGCCCGGGAGGACGGAGAGGCTCTTGGGCAGCGCCTGTCAAACGCAGGAGGAGAGACCGGCTGCTCCGCCGCCCGCGTGCTGGAATAACAGCGGCGTCGGGGCTGGTCCTTGGCACGGGTACGGGGGGGAGCTCTTTTCCCCACCTCTCCCTACTCTTCAGACTACAAGGCCCATCATTCCCGGCTGGACCTGCGCGGGGATAAGTCCGACCCTGGACCTTTGAGGGGGGAGGAAGCGGCTGCCACGCTTGCCTTTCGGGGGGTCTCCTCGATCTTTTGGGGGGCGACCCTCGCTGCCACGTGGACGGGGGGAGCGGCTGCAGACGAGCGGGGTGCTGGGGCCCTTTGCTTGGGTTCTCACGATGCGTTTCATCAGCTCCGTTTCTTTTTTTGGGGGGGGATCTTGCGCTGTGCCACCCCCCCCGGTGACGTCCTTTGGGCGAAGGGTCCGGTCCCCTGCATGACCCGCAGGCGGGAAACGGGTTTGTTGGGGAACTGGTCGTGGGAAAGCAGCCCTGGAGACGGCAGCCTCTTGAAAAAAACTCCAGGAGGCACTAAATGCGGGGCTGCATTGAAGACAGCATCAGGGTGCGGTTCTGGGCATCCTGTCAGATCTCCTCTCCTCTGTCTGAGAGACACCCATTTGCCATCTTTCCTTTCTCTTGGCTAGCTTAGGACAGAGTTTCTTAAACTCTCCTCTCTCAAGATTCCCTTCCTTCCTTCCTTCCTTCCTTCTTTTAAGTTAATTTTTAAAAAATGCGTGTGCGTATACAGTCAAGTCAAATGGTTGACTCTTTGGCAAATGCCTGGAGGGGTTCCCTGCAGTTTTCATGCCAAATTTTCCGGAGGGGTTTGCCATTGCCTCCTTCCTGGAGCTGAGAAAGAGGGACTGGTTCAAGATCACCTGGCTGGCTTCACGCCTAAAGCAGGACTGGAACTCCCAGCCTTCACATTTCTATCCCGGGGCCTTAACCACTACACTAATTGGGTGTTCTAAAAAAAATATGAAGGGTATTTTGATTTTGCAGACAGGAGAGGGTCCTCAGACCATGTTTTTTTTTAAAAAAAAAAACATGAGAGGGAAACACCATGAAATCAGCAATGTGAAAATTAGCATTGATTGAATGTAATGCATTTAATTATGCTCAGTATTTCTCTTGGGTCTTCTCATTCACTCCCCTCCTCCCAAAATGTGTCTCTAATTGCAACCTTGGTTTCTAGTGAGTTGGTCTATCTTATATTCAACTCTTATTTCCAAATTCCTTTGTGGTTCCTGGTTGCTAAGCCACTGGGTTCTGCTCTACAATGACATGAAATAGCTCTCTTATTCTAATTTTTGTAGGGGACTTGTTCAAGAACAATAAAGTCCAGTCCAAAAGCTTTCATCTTGTTTTTAAAAAATATTCTTACAAAAAATGGAGGATAACTCTCTTAAAATAGCACAGAATGGGACCATATTTGGTGTGGAGGAAGAAACTGGGAGAAAAAAGATTGAGTTTTAAAAATGGGCCAGATTCAGCTGGGACTTTGGGGGGAAAAAACATGCCCTCTGTTTTTTCCAATGCATCCCAATGGGAGAGGCAGTAACACAGACTCAGGTTGTTGTCACTACTCCATTCTAAGGCCTGCCTTCTCTCTCTGGGTCATATGACCCAAAGTGGAGCATATGCTGCCCACCCCATGCTTCACAGTGCACATATGCACGGTTATTGCTCTAGAAGAAGCTGTGTTCTGCATGGTTTATTGGCCTTGTGTAACTTTTTGGCAGCCCTGTTAAGTTAGGGAGTAACAGACTGAAAATACTAGAGGTTTCAAGGCGCAGGTTCACCACGTTACCTGTGATAACATTCTTTGTCATCAACTCTGCCTGAGGGTGTATCCCAGCCTTTAAAATATGGGGAACATCTTCTTTGGCAGGTCTTACCTTCTACACTCCCTTTGATTTTTCATGGCAGTATTCCTGTTTATTAAATTATATTGTTTTACTAAATCTTCATACATTTCACTTCCTGATCTAAAAATATTCTCTTTTTACTTTTTTCTTTTTCTCCCCATCCTGGCTATGCTTGGCAACAGTCCTTCAATAACCCTGCTTGTGTGTTCCTCTCCAGCTGCACTGCTGCTTGTGCTTATATGAATTTTCCTTATGTGAAGCCTCTTGCATGACCAGCATGGAAGGATTGTGCATCCTATATTGCTTTTTCCATGATTTCATTGAGAACATTAATGTACACCTCTAGAAAACCCTATATTGTTTGTCTGTCTGTCTGTCCACCCATCCATCCATCCAGTTTCTATATCACCTTTCACACTTGAGTGACTCTGGGCAGTTTATATGCCTATAACTGAGACTTTCTTATTTCCGATTTTTAATCTGATGCAAAATATTTATTGCTGCTATGTTCTTTAGCCTCATATTGATCTGGGAACACATGCAGTTTGCTGTCTCACAAACCCTTAAAACATTGTTTTTCAACCTTGGCAACCTTAAGATGTGTGCCAAGGTTGAAACACACTGTCTTAAAGAAAATGAAGGATTGTAAATACAACAGTTTGCTGTCTTTAGTTGTTCTGACCTTTGTCAAACTGAGTAACCTGGTACTAAGTTATGTATTGTAGAGGCCATGAAGCATGCAGGTACATTTGTTGCTAAATCCTTAAAAGTCATATCCTAGTTTATGGGGAGAGGCAAAAGTGGAAAGTGACTCTGATTTTCATTCATATCTTATTTATGAACTGGGAACATGGTGCTTTATTTTATTAAATAGCATTGCATATGTAGACAGAGTAGCTTACAAAACAAGGACAAGTGCAAAACGATTAAAGTGTAATCTTATATGGAAAACAAATGGGCAGACAAAATCAATAACAATTTAAAATTGAATTGTGGTTTTAAATCTGCTCGATATACAATAAATATAATCTTGTTTTATGTTAAGAGATACGTATTGATCAGCAAGACTGATCAAAGCCAAAAACAACAAATCAGTAGGGATATTTTAAGAACTCTAACTTTTTTCCTTTTTTTAGACTTTGAAACAAATGAAGTACATTTTGGTAACAGGTGGTGTCATCTCTGGGATTGGAAAAGGAATCATTGCCAGCAGCGTTGGGACAATCCTCAAATCATGTGGATTACACGTCACTTCCATTAAAATTGACCCTTATATTAACATTGATGCAGGCACCTTCTCTCCTTATGAGCATGGTAAGATTAGATTAAAACCTGTTCTTCTTACTATAGCAGCAAGGACTGAGTATATCCGCATTCTAGTACCGAAGATACTTTTTATTTAGGACAGTACAGAGAGTCCAATCTGTCCATTGGGCTATTATGTATTATTTATGTTTGCTCGTGTTTTTATTCTGTTTTTATTTGCTTTAACATCAGCTCCTCTCCTAGTCATCCCTATAAAATGGGATGTCCATATACATGTCCATATACATGGACATCAGTGTGTTGAAGTCCACTCATCTTAAAAATGCCAAAAGTGAGAAGCGTTGGTGGGATTCAGCCAGTTCGCACCGGTTCAGGAGAACCGGTAGCTAAATGCGGTTGAGTTCGGAGAACCGGCTGAACCCACGTTGCTTCTGGAAGCCCGTTCTAGGAGGAGGCCTCGCAGGTCTAGAACGGCCCACAGGAAGTGCGTGGATGTCACTTCCGGAAGTCCCTTCTAGGCCTCGGAGGTCCAGGCCTGCAGAGAGCCTGTTGTTCAGGTATTTGAATCCCACCACTGGTGAGAAGCCCACTGTTGTCACTATTCAGACAATGAAAGTGACAGGCTGCAGAGTCCTTGCTGGGATTTGGTTTACAGTGGGAAGCAAATGTGATGTTCCTTTAGAAAGTTGTACAGTAGATCCTAGGATATTTGGCTGCCATCGCCGCTGCTAACCAATCGAGAATATGCTAGGTTTTGGAAGATGCTTTCAGTACACAAACATAGATATATGGAAGAAGGCGACAGAAAGCTTATCTGTGGTTGTCATTTTGTTTTAGGTGAGGTGTTTGTGTTGGATGATGGAGGAGAAGTGGATTTGGATCTGGGTAACTATGAACGGTTTCTTGATATCCGACTCACAAAAGACAATAATCTGACCACAGGGAAAATATACCAATATGTCATCAACAAGGAAAGGAAGGGAGACTACTTGGGTAAAACTGTGCAAGGTAATATATTAAACATGGATTCATTCTCCTTTGACTGTTGCCTTTGGCTGGAGACTTTGTGTAATTTCAAGCATAAAGTCTATGGCTAGTAGTTTATGTACTGTAGCTACTGTCTCTCTCTGGTTATTTTTATAACCTGAGATGAGAAATTTGGGCACTTTGAGATGCAATTGAAAACATTATTAAAAAAAATATTTCCAATAATATAAATAAATAAAGAAGAGAATAATTGTTAGAGCAATTCAAGGATGTCTTTAGGGAATAGTCAAAACATTAAGATATCAGCCCTTGTGATCAAAGCTTCATAGTTTTTTTGTGTGCATGGAGCTTCGATTGCATTATTAAGGTCGCCATCTTGACTTTTTTGACCTTGCCCTGCCGACATCCCTGGAACACCTAATACTATTTTAGTTGCATTTACATGTTGCTATAAGACAGAACAGTGGAGAGATTAGGATTTTCACTCAGGAACACGTTCATGAGAATGCAGTCACACTAGCCAACAGGAATAATAAGGTATCCAGGAACCTTATTGGATAAAATAAAATGGCCAAATTGGTTGGAGTTGGATAGCATCCAGATTAAATTAATAAAATCAAATCACCAGAAATTCAGCAAGAAATGAATATTCAGTGTTAACATGAGATGATTCTAATTGAAACCAAGTACATAACAAGAAATTATTGAAATGGTATCTTTTTTATTATTATTATTTTACAGTTGTGCCCCACATTACTGATGCCATCCAGGAGTGGGTAATGAGACAAGCACGAATCCCAGTAGATGAAGATGGCATGGAGCCCCAAGTTTGTGTGATTGAGGTTGGTGTCCATGGCCTTCTATGTCTCTTGCCAGGATTTCAGACACAATATACTGTAATGCAGTGATGGCGAACCTTTTAGAGACCGAGTGCTCAAAAACTGCCCCTGCCCGCCCACAGGGCCTCTCACTACCTCCACACAGATCGCCCAGGTGGCCCAGCAGCGCCATGGTGGCCATGCCCTCCACCCACACCCCACAGCATTAACTGCACACGACAGGGCGCGAGGGCGAAGTCTTGTCCCCGCTGCCTGGCTGCCATGTCCTTAGCTGCGCTGCTCCACGTGGGCCACGCTCGGGGGCAACTCTCCGGGAGGGCTGCTGGTGGGGCTGCGGGTTGGGGCGACGGCACGTGTGCCCACAGAGAGGGCTCTGAGTGCTGCCTCTGGCACGGGTGCCATAGGTTCACCACCACTGCTATAATGTATTGGTTGATGATTACCACCTGGGTATTGCTAAAGATACGAAACCATTGCTGTTCTTTATTGCAATCATTAATCAGGACAAGAAAATTAATATGCAAATATTAAAAATATCCAAAACAAAATTGATAATGGCAGGATAGTTAAGAAAAGTAGATGAAGGGGAAAAGATTTGGCTAAAAGTCAGTATTAAATCAGAACATGGTAAAAGGGGATTGGGGGGCAGGATTTATGACTTAAGAAAAGAGTGTTATGTTTAATTTTAGATGTCTGTATTTTAGCTCGGAGGAACGGTGGGAGACATTGAAAGCATGCCTTTCATTGAGGCATTCCGCCAATTTCAATTCAAAGTCAAGCGAGAAAACTTCTGTAATATTCACGTCAGTCTAGTTCCCCAGGTAAGATTCCATAAGGCAATTCCTTGTAGTGTTGGCCCTAAAGAACCTGGGTGGCTCTTTCTAAGGCTTTGGGTTAGGATATCTAAGGCAGGGGTCTTCAAACTTGGCCCTTTTATGACTTATGGACTTCAACTCCCTGAATTCCTCAGCCAGGCATGCCTGGCTGAGGAATTCTGGGAGTTGAAGTCCACAAGTCATAAAAGGGCCAAGTTTGAAGACCCCTGATCTAAAGGGTGGGAGAGTGTTTATATCATCTTGCTTGTTCTGCTTCAATCATATGAAGCTAGACAAACTAGACAAATAGATGAATAAACAGATTGCAGGAATGACCTGAGGGTTTTCAAAGAGGTTGGAAAATAAATCTGATTTTAATTTGACACATTGTCTTCTTGTTTATATTTCTTGGCCTGGGTTTATTAGCCAAGTTCTACAGGGGAGCAGAAGACAAAACCCACCCAGAATAGTGTTCGTGAACTACGAGGCCTGGGTCTATCACCAGATCTAGTAAGTTTTTCTAAGATGTATATAAAAAATACTGGCTGGATTTCAAACTGCTATCAGGCTTATGATGAGAAGATGTTTTTCAGTAATTTGAGAGAAGTATAAAATAAATTGCTGTGATAGAGATAATAGTCTGTTCACAGAAGCTGAGAAAGTATAATGTGGTTAATTGTTCTTTGGTGAGCTAACCAAATTCTGTTTGAAGGCTAGATTTAAACCTTGGGCAAATTTTTGAAGGTTTCCCTATTTTCTTTCCTAGATTGTGTGCAGATGTTCCACACCTCTGGATACCTCAGTGAAAGAAAAAATTTCCATGTTTTGTCATGTAGAACCAGAACAGGTAAAGTTGCTTCAACTTAACATAGTAACTGTTTCTGCATGCACAGAACAGATCTAAGTTATGAACTCCTATGTAACTTGTTAATTGTCTAGGAAAAAAAAGAAACGCAGAGGGTGCATTTTCAATCATTTATTACCAAATCACGGTGGTGACGAATTGTAAAACAGGTGTTGAAGTTTTGCCTGTAGGCTGATGGTTGCCTATCTTTCCTTTTCATCAAAGCTCGGGAGACCTGCATCTAGGTCAAATCAGAGAATTCTGTGCAGCAGATTTTATGTATGCAAGCCCCCTTTTTTCAAATTAGCTGGGACTTGCATCATTATGTGTCTTGCGGGATGTGGCTCTAAGATCTTAGTAATATTTGCTTAACCAGGTAATTTGCTTTGCTGCAACAGGTAATCTGTGTCCATGACGTCTCTTCCATCTATCGGGTTCCTCTGTTGCTAGAGGTGCAAGGAGTGGTGGATTATTTTCGACACAGGCTCAACCTTCCCATTGAAAAGCAGCCCCAGAGAATGCTGATGAAGTGGAAGGAGATGGCAGACAGGTGAGTTTCTCTGGGCAAACAGTAATTCTGGCTAGTTTCACTCAACACAGTAAGCCCTAAACCTAAGACAACAAAACACAATTTGTGTAGTTTGATATGTTCAAAGAAAGTATGTTATTGCTTGCAATGATGGTCTGGTTACCACAACCAGCTAAGACAACCATTGAACTCCCACAACAATGAATCATACACCACCAAAATTTAGATTGCCATAGTGTAGATTGCACCACTTCAGACCACAGATGAAAAGCATATGATAGTGATGGCAAACCTTTTAGAGACTTGAGTGCCCAAACTGCACTTATGCATCGTCGAGTGCAAAACCCACTTATGCACCGTCGAGTGCCGGGTGGGTGTGCCCCATTGGGTGGGCGTGGCTGCGGTGGTAACGGCAGACTGGGTGGGACTAAAAAGTTCAATCAATTCCAACTTTGCAAGATCTTTGTTTTTCCCGCAAGAAGTTGAAATTGACTGATTGAACCTTTTTTTTTTTTGCACACGGCGGCGGAGGCCTAAAGCGAAAAGGGTTTTATAAAACCCAGCTGAAGGCCTAGGACTGGGGTGACGGTGCGCGTGCCTACAGAGAGGGCTCTGAGTGCCGCCTCTGGCACCCGTGCCATAGGTTCGCCACCCCTGGCATATGACTTGGAATCCTCCATTATAGTGAAGCCGTGGTGGTGCAGTGGTTAGAATGTGGTATTGCAGGCTAACTTTGCTCACTGCCTGGAGTTCAATTCCTTCAATCCTAACTGGCTCAAGATTGACTCAGCCTTCCATCCTTCTGTGGTCGGTAAAATGAGGACCCAGATTGTTGGGGGCAATGTGTTGACTCTGTAAATTGCTTAGAGAGGGCTATAAAGCACTGTGAAGTGGTATATAAGTGCTATTGTTGTTGCTTTTTTTTTTTAAATGGTAGGATCTTTGGGAGATACATGCTGGACTAGTATATCTCCTGATTTGAAGACACAATTTGTTTAGCTTGGCTCTGGCTGAGCTATGTTTTAATTTGTAGGATGTCTTTAATAAAGCCACCTCTGCATCCAAACATAGTACATGTTACAGTCTGCTTGCTTTGGACAGAGATGGGGGGGCATATAAATTTAATAATAAATTTAGCAATGTTTAATAATTTGCATTTTATCCAATTTACTGACTGTGTGGGCTGGGCTTAAGTGGATTTTAATGGGGTGGTGATGGTGCTTTGAGTTGGAATTGAGTCCTGGCAGCTATGTAGACACGTCTGTGTCATTTTCTAGGCAGCAGTTTCAGAAATGGTTACTCTGGCCTTCTTCCTAGGACTGAGAGTCGGTCACCCAGCTGGTTTTTGTTTCTCTGTTTCTTTTGAGATGATAATATTATATTCACTTTTTCATTCCATACTTTTTATATTCACTTATTAAATACGTGGTTTTGGTTTTTTACACAGATATGATCGCTTATTGGAGACCTGTTCTATTGCCCTGGTTGGCAAATACACAAAGTTTTCAGATTCATATGCCTCTGTCATTAAAGCCTTGGAACATTCTGCTCTAGCAATCAATCACAAACTTGAGATAAAGGTATGTTTTTTCCATTGACTAAAAAAATATATCTTTCTTTCTTGCTTGGTTTAGTTTGAAACTTAAAATCTATATGGGTGTCTGCCCTGAGTTGATACTGGTAATGCTACTTCTGGCACAAATTCTACTATGTTTACCAACAACCACAAAAACTAGCCCACTTCATATATTACAGCAATGTTAGAAGAGCTTAATAATGTGATAACAACAATGCAAGCATTGGTCATAATGTATAGGAAAATATTTGGGATGTTGATACTGCTTCAATCTCCTAGTTGGCTACCACGCATTTCCATAGCTATATAAAAATGAAAATGAATCAAAAGACATACTGTACACCACTGTTTCTTAAAGTGTGGTTCAAGGACTCCTGAGGGTCCCCCAAGGCCCTCTTGGGTGCATAAAATAAAAACTATTTGCCAGATATTGAAGATATTCACAGAAATATAAAACAATGTCAGTCTTATTATTTTTTATTTGTTAAAATAGTTTATGAAAATATTTATGTTAATATGTTTAATATTTTTATATGATTCAATAAATAAATATTCTATGAATGTGTTAATTTTAATACAGTAAATATTGATCAATGTAACCCACACAAACAAATGCTCTTTTGTGGTCCTTCATAATTTTTAAAAGTGGGAAGGGTTTCTGAGATCAAAAAGTTAAATAAAAATTGATGTAGGGAATTTCTGCAATCCCTCAAAAGAAGGCTGAAAGCTCTAAGAATTTTGATTGCTTTGAAGGCATCATGGTGATTTGATCATTAAAATGATCTTTTTTTTATCATCAGCTTCTTACAGCTGTGTGTTTTGTTGATTATTAAACTATTTTAAGATGAAAGAACCTTCAAGGTCTATAATTTGGAACAGAAGTTGTTTTAAAAAACAATAAAGACTAGGAGTGAAAATCATTTGGTCAATATTTTATCAGGTAATATAGTACATCAAGGCAATGTTCAACAGACATTGACATTCAAGCTCTAAAATTAAACAATCTTCCTCTTTTTCCCCAGTATATTGATTCTGCTAATTTGGAACCGGTTACACTGCAAGAAGAGCCAGTTAGATACCATGAAGCCTGGCAGAAGCTTTGCAGTGCTGAGTAAGGCATTCATTGTCTTCTTCTCTATGATGAGAAAATGTTTCCTGCTAGTTTTATTGAAGGGTTTTTGTACTTCTCTCAGCGATAACTTCGCTTTTATTAGGCCAGACCTGTTGAGCTTTCTTTTATGAGTTAGGGACCAGGCCTCATTTTCTATTACTGAGCGACAGGATGAAGTACATCAGAAACAAGATTATGTTGATGGCTCTGTACTAATCCCACGTGCTTTTGAATTCTTTGGAGTTGTATAGAATTAGGGTGACATATAGAATAATAGAATCTTATGGTGAGAAGGGCCTTAGGGAAGTCTTTTCTTGAAGACTTTCTGTGAAAGAGCACCCACAGCTTCAGGGGGCAAGCTGTTTCACTGCTTCATAGCTCTGTCAGTCAGGAAATCCCTCCATATTTCACAATTAAAATTCAATCCATTGGTTCTTGTCTTATCCTCTGATACTCTGGATAATAAATCCACACCCTCTTCCTTGTGACATCCAATCATGTTTTGGAATGTTATCATAGTTCCCTTCTCTTCCTTAGGCTAAATATAGCAAAATCCTTTAACTTTTTTGTTTATAAATAACATTATAGAAGTTCCTTATTCACAAGCCACATGCTGTAGGTTGCCTCTTGGTGATGATCAATATGATTCTGCCACAGAATGAACAAATGGGATCCCGGTGCTATTGATATGGGTGGCAGGGGCTCTCTAATGCTCAAGTAGTTTTCCCAGCCTTTCCTGGAGGTGCTAGAGGTTGAACTCTGGACAATCAATATTCAATAGAAGGGCGTTATTATGATCTGCACCTGTCACATTTCAGCTGTAAATCCTTGCTTGCCTGAAACTTCTTCATTTTTGCTTGTGACTTGTGTTGCAAAAACTCATCATTTTGAGCGGTGTTTCTGCATTTTATTGTTTCCTATTTGTGGTGTTTGAATAAACAATAATATGGAGAAATTCTTGCTGGATTAACACTGGGCTAAACCATGGTTGTTTCCACTAAAGTTGTTAAATAAAGCACCAGGGATGTGGTTTATAAACAAAACGACTGGGATTTTTTCACTAAGCGTCCTTAGTTCAAACTAGGCAAAGTGCATTGTGATGTAGTTTGTTTTGTGAGTCCAATTTATTTTCAGAGGACTGGGATAAATATAATGCAAAAGTGAAGTGAATGCTCAGGTTTATCCAGTAGACGACCTTCTTTTTGTTTAGTGGAGTCTTGGTTCCAGGTGGTTTTGGTGTTCGAGGCACAGAAGGAAAAATTCAAGCCATTTCTTGGGCAAGAAAACAGAAGAAACCTTTCCTAGGTGAGAAAATATGCTTGAACGTTATTTTTTGTATGTAGTTTACAAGGCATTGGGTCTGTTCTTTGAGAGATCTTTGTGTGCAACAGTTTCTGCCTGTCCAGTAGGACCTGTACTATGGGTGCCCTCCAGATCCTTTCAATTAATCAATACCATCTCTTGAGAACTAAGAAGGATGTCTTCTCTGTCATGTCCCATACCCTCTGGAACAGCATCTCTGCAGAGATTCATGTGACCCACCCTTGTGATGTTCCCAAAGTCTTTAAAGACTAGGCTTTGCTCCCAGGCCTGCAGATAGAGTGGTTGTTGAGTCCATTGAATTTTCTTCTCTGTGTGGATGTTTGTTTCTTCTGCCCACATATGAACTTTTTCCTATAGTTCTTTATTACAGCATAAACTGTTCGGTGGCCTCTAAAATTAATCCAATCAGTCAATCGATTAGATAAATACAATTCAACTAATTGCTTTGAACGTGAACCAGAATTGAAATGGTCCTTTCTGTACCAGCTTGCCTGAAATGATAAGTTAAAGAAATATTGTCCAGTATTATCCCAATAAACCTGTACCTGATGTCTTTGAAATCATGTGTGGCCAGACTGATGCATAATTGTCAGGCCATAAATTATCCCAGTGGTCCTCCTGTACCTGATCTTCAGCTGCTTATGTAGAGTCTAATAGAGGAGGATAATGGGAATTCTGTTGGGTATTTGAGAATTCCAATGCATATTTTTTTAATATATCTCTTTGCTCTGTTTTCGGCAGGAGTCTGTTTGGGAATGCAGTTGGCCGTTGTGGAATTTGCCCGAAATGTCCTTGGTTGGCAAGGTAAAGATGTAGGAAAATAAACATTTGGGCCTAAGAATGCTAATTCTTAAAATTACTTGCAATATACTAATTGCTGTAGGGTAGCAATATACTGGGAACATTTAAATCTCAATAAAGCTTTTTATACTCGTAAAACAATTGTATCTATTTCACTTTACCCAGTTTTTACAAGAGTTTATAAAGGAATGAGCTTTCAATTCTCTAAATTGTTCGCAATACAAAATATAAATCTCCCATGTTTTTATTGCTTTATTTACTAGCCTAAGTGTAGAGATCTTAATAAGAAAGCAGCTATTTACAACATTCAACTTAAGTAGTGGATTATTAAAATAAACAACATGGTATGTTAATGATTTGGGTAGGATTGCATTGACCATGTTATGTTGGAGCATTTGCTTCAAGTCTTGGGTTACGTTGTCATTAATGCTAATTAATGGAAAAGCTGCTTTCTGCTGGAAATGTAGATTTTTTTCTTAAGATCCAAGGCGTTCTGTGATCAAAGCCTGTCATCCACAGATGCCAACTCTACAGAATTTGACCCCAAAACTACATATCCAGTGGTGAGTGTGATGATACTTTTTTAATCCATTGTGGTTTCTTTTCATGTACACCAAGAACATTTCTTCCCTCCCTCCCTCCCTTCCTTCTCACAACAATTATTTTGAAAGGAAATGTAAAAAATGGTCTAATTAGAATGAATCATGATGAGAATAAATTAGACTTCTCCATCGTGCTATGACTAATGAACTTCTGTTAAAATGTTGTCTGATATTTGAAGGTAGGTGTTTCTCAATGAGTTGCTCTGCCATTTGTTTTGTAGATATGAAAGTCCAGATTTTATTTTATTTGGCGCCAGTGAATCTCTCAATTTGACCAAAAAGAATGTGTGTTCTTACGTTTTTACTTGACTTTCTATTCAAGAGTACTTCAGATACTGTAAAAGTAAACGTTTGCATGTTTGTATATGTATGTATGTTGCACACACATATTTTACACATTATGAGTTCCGTGAATATATTCTAAAACTCATGCTAGACATAAAAAAAATACTGTATGAGCAGTCAGAATGGGGGGCTAAGCCCTTCTGATGAATTACCAATGCCAGAAACTATCAGTTTTGTTTTTAGGCACTACTAAACCCAGCTTACAAATTTTGTTTTCCCTACATACTTGCTTGTATTCTTAGTTGCCTTAACTTCTTCTCCATCACATCATACTCTTCAACTTCTCAGGTAATTGACATGCCGGAACACAATCCAGGTCAAATGGGTGGGACCATGAGGCTGGGCAAGAGGAGAACCATCTTCCAAACCAAGAACTCAGTCATGAGTATGCTTTTCTTGGCCTTCCTTTTGTTTTGTTTTGTTTTCCCTTTCCTTTCCTTTTGAGTCCTGATTGTATTTTAATTATACAAATACCCAGGCTGCCTTAAAGTACTGGAAATTATAGCTAACGGCCATCCCACTTTCCTAAACATTTGGGGCAACATGATGACATTGATAGTAGCTCTATAAAGAAAAAAAAATATCTCAAACTTTGTATTATAAACTTAGGTATTTACTAGACCAGGGGTCTCCAACCTTGGCAACTTTAAGACTTGTGGACTTCCACTCCCAGAATTCCTCTTCTGGAAGTGGAAGTCCACAAGTCTTAAAGTTGCCAAGGTCGAGCACCCCTGTACTAGACCCCCATGACTCCTTGTGTCATTGTTTCAGAGATACTTCCTTACCAGAGCTTCTAGTGTACTTAAAAAGTTCTGTAAAATTCAGGGAAATATTCAGAGATCTGTATCTTGAAAGGAGTCCATGTTGAACTGTGTAGCACAGTCAAACATCAGTTGACTACAGGAAAAGTTTTATGACATTGAGTATTATGTCATAACATGATTGATGATAATGTTTAGGTCACAAAATGTTTTATAAACTTGGTCAAATTTCAATTCTATGGGAGTTATGGGTCCCAGATTTTGGATGCATTCTGTAAACTAGTTCATTTGAGGCATCTTGGTTCAAAACATTTTGCCCTATGATACATTGCTCATGCATTCTTTCTTTGGTGGCATGTTGGTAAGCACAAGAACTGCTTTCTGATAAAGTTTTCTGTAAGAGGACAAAAATCAACATCATCCCAGGAAAGGGCAAGGGGAAGGTAGGGTGTTAACAAGTATGCTAATTTCAAATAAGCAAATGGCCATATATTTTCTTCACCCATAGGAAAACTGTATGGAGATGGTGACTACTTGGAAGAAAGGCACAGGCACAGATTTGAGGTATGGCTACTTGTAGTAGAGAAAGGTGGGGGGAGGACCCTTTTTCTCCAAAGTCCAGTTAAAAAAAAATCACCCGGTGTAATTGTCTGTTCATAGGTAAATCCAGAACTGAAAAACTCATTTGAAGAGAAAGGTATGAAATTTGTGGGCCAGGATGTGGAAGGAGAGCGAATGGAAGTGGTTGAGTTGGAAGGTGAGCACTGATCTGTCACCAGAAGGTTGCTATTGTTAATTGAGGAAAAGTTTTAAGATTTGTGGAAGTGATCTTCCTTGGATAGAAAAAAAAGTGAGAATTGCTACATCAGTTCTTTGAAAAACAAATATCAGTGATGGCTAATGTGAGGTCCTTGGTGCTCTCTGAGTTTGGTTTTCTTGCAGATATTTCATTACCAAACTAGATAACATCAGTGATTTACCTAGTTTGGTAATAAAACATCTGCAAAACAAAAACAACCAAGCTCAGAGAGCATCAAGGATCCCCCAGGTCAACCCTGAATACAAATATTCTCTTCCATGGCTATGCACCTGTACCTTTTTATAGGATACTCATGTAGTCTTATGAATAGTTTTGGCAATTAAGCTAATAAAGCATGCCTTACTTTCTCCTCCAGAGCATCCTTTTTTTGTGGGGGTTCAGTATCACCCAGAATTCCTATCCAGACCCATAAAACCCTCTCCTCCTTACTTTGGCCTCCTCCTGGCTTCTGCAGGAAAACTCTCGCATTATCTCCAGAAAGGTTGCAGACTCTCCCCTAGGTAAGTCCAGCCTGCCGTGTACCTTAATACTTGAAGTGACTTAGAGATTTGGGACTGTGTGAGCTCAAGTTTACATCCATTTGGCACTGTAGCCTTCATGATATATCTTGCACCTGGACTAAAATATTAATAATGCATTGTGGGGGAAAGTACAGTATAAGGGCCTCTATGCTCTGACTGTGCTTCTGTTTTGATTCTGTGTGAAAGATAAATTAGTCTTTTTCGATGGTCATCAATGATAGTATATTGATGATATATTTTTGGGAAGATTTGGGGCTCTGGTTCATGGTTAAAGGAAGGTCAGTTGTTTGATTATCCCTCTACTTTTTTTCTCATTGCCATTAAGCAAAAACTTTGATCTCTGCCTTGTCCCCAAGTTAGTTCTAGTTCTGTAAATTTGGCAAAAGGGTTATGACAAACCAGAAACAGCTTCTTTGCCAAATTATGTTAGAAAGGTTAAAGGAGGAAGAAAACTTCTCAAATACTAACTTTAATTTGCCCTGCTTTACTAAGCTCCTAGTGATAATACATGGAGTGTATATGTGTGTGGCTGTGGCTGTAAAAAGAGCATCATTGAATTTTATCAGTATCCAGATGTGCTCTCTCTCTTTCTGTCTCTCTCTCTCTGTCTCTGTCTCTCTCTCTCCCCCTCCCCCCATACACACACGAACATGTACATTATCATGCAAGACTTCGCACTTTCTGCAAAATATGAATTCTAATTTACAATTTAGTTTTCTGCTTTTTATGTTGATGTGTGAATTCCAAGTATTTTCTTTTCTGCATCTAATCAAATAAGTATTTCTCTTGCTTTCATGTATTTGCGTTTTTAAAGAAAAAGATTGGTTCTGAGTTATGCTTGAAATTAGCCTGGCAGCAAACGCTTTCAAGACATTTGTAGCCCATCTAATGCTGAGTCCTCCTGTAACAGATCATTTTATGTTACAAAACAAGAATGGGTCCCCACTATGTAAAAAAAATTTTTTTTATATAAATACAGCCAAGCAACCTTCTCTTCGGGAATCTCCAGTGTTTGCAATAGATCAGAGTATGTTCTTTATCTCGATTTCTCTTGCCTCAGCGACCAGAAATTCTAGCTGAACCAGTAGACCAAGAACAGAGTTTGTTATGTATGTAAGAGAAATCCTGTTATTTTTCTAACAGCCTGAATTTTACAGGGACACCTATAGTGACAGAAGTGGAAGTAGTTCCCCTGATTCTGAGATCACAGAACTGAAATTTCCTGCCGTGAATCATGAGTAAACTGCTGGTAAAATCTATTTTCCATTTTCTGGGTTTTTAACATTATTTCTTTCCCTGTTTGCTTGTATCACATTTCTTGGGAGCAGGGGATGGTGGTAGTCAAAATGACCAGGTTAAGTATTTTTAAAATACCGATAAATTTGATATAAATATTTCTGATCTTCCTCTTTTTCTCTCTCTCAATCCCAACCTACCCACCATCCAGGTGTTTGGAAATTCTTCATTGGACACCATACGTCCCGGGGATTTTGTAGATCATGTTATTATAATTATTTTTATTTTTGGGAGACATCATTTCTTTTGTTTGATTTTATTTTTTTAAAGAAATTGTTCCATGAAACTGGCATTGATGCCTACTTGTGCTCAACTGTGAGCTTACAAACCTGAAGTGCAGAAGCTGAGGGAGGGAAGAGACATTTTGGACATGTAAGGAGGTTTAACAGGCCATTTTAAATGCTCACAGAAGATGCCATGCAGAGTCTCTGTTCAGGATTTTGGTTCATCTCCATTGTCGGAGGTGTACATTATATGGTTGACATCTCAGTGGAAAGTTGTACAAAGCAGGCAATTATCATCTTCTAAAGTATTCTAAAATAAACTGGTGCTACACCTAACATTGCTTAACCTTTCTCAAGAGTATAATTTTCCTGTTCACAAGATACAGTGTACTCTGATGCTAAGCAAGTCTGGCCACATTCAAAGGTGTTTCAAAAATGTGAGTGCGTCAATTTTCCCCCCTCCCCCCTACCATTTTACACATTTGTTGGAGGGGTGGGCATGGCTTTCTTTAGTTCAGCTTCCTGAACTGATCCAATTCCTTGCATCAAGGGGGACGCATGTATGAGAAAGTGACTTTTCAGAAGTAGCCTTTTGCACCTCTCATTGAGAGCGTTGCCTTGGACTGGAAAGAAGCACTGAGGGTCTTATTTTTTGAAGAAAGACCACCCTATCTAGAACAAAGAGCTCATGTTGGCATATGGGCTGTCCCAGGCACCGGTTTGTACAAGGGGAAGGATGTGTCCAGCGACATGCAGATGCAGCTTTAGAAGAGAGAAAGGATGAGCTTGCAGACGTGGAGACTGCAGAAAAACATGGTTTATGATCTTTTCCCAGTGCAGATTACATAAACTGCGTTTCCAGCAAGATAGGTGAAACTGTTACTGCAAACATATTGGATGTACAGATCCTTTTCAGTTCATTAAAACATTGGGAAAACAATTGGTCTTTTCTGTCTGTTTATATAACTTGAAAACTCTTTTTTTCCCCCATGTACTCCCCATTTCTCTGAGTTAAAAAGTGGAATTTCTTTTGAAATTACATTTTCCTCCCTCCCTCCCTCCCTCTTGATTATTGCTGAGATACCTGGAATACTAGAAAATGATAGGAGAATCAGCACCATCCTAACTCCACTGTCCCCAAATCACGCTAAGGGCCAACTGAAAACTTCCCAGGACCCATTGCCTAATGTTTACTCAAGGAATTAACTTGTCTGCTGTTCATTGACATGTGGAAAAGAGGTTGCTATAATTTTATGATCTTAAACATCCACCCATATAAATGCTGGTGGATAACTGTTAAAGAATATTAGTCATAAGCCAAGTTTAGACTTTTAACCTGCTTGAACATCCCTAAAATCCCAGCAGTAACTCCCTGTTTTTGTTTCTAAGAAGAGAATATCCACAGAGTGAAAATAGGCAGAGGAAGGGGCAGGTTAGAGAAGAGGGATGATGGGAAATTGATCTGTTAATGTAGTTGCAAACAATGTGTTTTTTCCCCTTTAAATACCCATAGCATGAAATATATTGATGCACAATACTGCATGTACAAAAGGGGTGGGATTTCTATCGCTTTCATCAACCGGATAACACACACATACAAAGAGGAGGAAAAAATTGCTTTCTCCAATGTTGGTTGCAATAGGATACTCTACAGGTATTGGAAAGGGGCTAAGCAGAGCCTAATAATGGCAACCATACTCTTGGTACAAGATGACCGTAGGTAGATCCAAGCTTTTAACTGGACCACGTTTTCTTTACTCAGGTATGTAGCTGTCTTCCAGCTGATGATGGGTGGCATGGCTTAATGTTACAAGATGACGCAGCATTTTGTGCTGTTATTCTGTGAATGTACCTGCTGTTGCAGGTTTTCTTTCTCCTTCAGCAAGTCGTCTATTTTCACTTCCAGCTTCTTGATTTCCTGTGTCCATTTCTGGGAAATTTACAAAGTTATGGTCATTCCTTTCCCAATAATAGTGGTGGCTCAGTGACCACCTTGTTTTGTAAGTTGGACTCTGGTGATGGCCTAAGGAAAGCCAGACAGTCTCTCAAAGGTGAAGAGATGGTCTGACTTGCCCTTGTTCTGGCATGAGCCTAGCAGGAGCAACGTCTTAATTATTTTGGAACACAATCTTTATTCTGCAGGTTTCCTTTTATTTAAAAGCACAGTACCACAGCAGAAATTGCCAAAATTGCCTTGGATATTTTAATGATCATTGTTGGGTTGCCAGAGAGAAGACTTAGACAACAGTGATCAATGACTAAATTGTCCTTTGTCCACAATTTTAATTTGAAAGGATGTAGCAGCAAGGTAAAACTTGCTTTCTCCCAAGTGGCCTTTGGGACCTTTAAACTTGCTTTTCAATGAAGAAAGTATTTGTTCCTGAGGAAAAGCATCAGTTTTGATACAATCCTCCTCCACCACCACCACCACCACCCCAATTTTGTATGGTGGAGAACCAGAAGCCATGTCTATCGGACGGCACTTTCAAACTTATTTCTTTGTGTGACCGCTAGAATTTGGTTTGTATGGCCCCAAGTGCTTTTTATAAGATGTGCAAAATCTGAATATTACCTGCCGGCACCACTCTTGGATAGCGCTTCCAGGGAGGGGTCCTTGTATGCTGCCGTCTCGCCTCAGGTACACCTCCCCCTGATCTGTTTCGTAAAGGAGAGGTTCTGCGTGTGGCTTGGGAGGATGGACGCTCAGCCGGATGACTTTCAGAAAGATGCCCGTGCCTTCTGCTTTGATAACTGGGATGAAGCTCAATGTGTAGGCTGTCGGGAAAACCTGTGGCTTGAAGGTTTTTAAAAGAGAATCTGTGAGCAGGCGAATTCTGTCTTCTTCTTTGTGGTCGCATTTGACGCCGCGGACCAAGCCATTGTCCTCAACTCCCACAAAAAGACTGCCCCCTTCACTGTTGAGAAAGGCACACATGTACTTGCGCAAATGATGCTTTAGTGTTGTTGTCAGGTATTCACCACTTCCTTGTTTGAATTCCACATTCCGTGTCTCTTCCCCTATGAAAGCTCCATAGAATAGGCATTCTCTACCAACAATCTCCCTATGGACAATGGCGCTGTCTGAGCGGGTGCTGTTCAGAAATGTCACTGGCCAGTCGACCAGCCTCCAAGGGTAACGAACACTTTTTCTGATGGGATTAGTTCTGTTGTCATTGGGCAGTTGCTTCCTTCTCTCAAGTCCTGATGGTCCTCCTAGAAGAACATCTGATCTGCTTCCCATGGAATCACTCTGTAGGCATGATGAGTAAAATTCAAGCGTATAATCAAATGTCACCAGTAAAAGGACTTGTGCCTTTGCAAGAATGTAGGTTCCTGTTTTGGTTGAGTAATTGTGATAAAAATTACATACTTGTATGGATCCAATATTTCCTGTTCTGTTTATATACAAACATTGGTGTTAAAATGGGGACGAGCTTAAGCAGTGGCTCTGATGGTTTTTGAATTCTAAAAGCTGAATGGCTGACCCAAAGGTGCTTTTACAAAAGGCAACTGAACTTTGTTTTTTCTTCATGAACTGAAGAAGCTTCTTGGATGAGAAGCGAAACATTTTCAAGGAAAAACAATGTCCAGTTGCCTTTTGAAAAAGCACCTTTGGGACAACCATGACCTGGATAACTGAGAATCTCCATAGACACTGAATGGCTATCATTGCTGAAAACTCTGAAACTAGGGAAGAGTACTGAGTTTGTCTCCTTTGTTGATTTAGAACAGCCAATTGTTAATATGTATAACACATAGGATACNGGTACGCGCTCACAGAGTGGGTCTCCTCAGGGTGCCGTCGGTCAAGCAGTGTCGGCTGGCGACCCCCAGGGGGAGGGCCTTCTCTGTGGGTGCCCCCGCCCTCTGGAACGAACTACCCCCCCAGATCCGGGTGATTCCGGATCTCCTGACTTTCTGCCGCGCCCTCAAGACATGGCTTTTCCAGCAAGCGGGCCTGGCCTAGGGAGGATTTTTAAATCGGGTTCATTTTTAGAAAATTTTAAATATCACAACTTAGAATATTTGGGTTTTAATTGGTTTTATTCGGCGGGGATTGTGGGTTTGTTTTTGTTTTAAAAAAATGTTGTGAGCCGCCCTGAGTCCCTCGGGAGAAGGGCGGGATACAAATTGAATAAATGAAATAAATGAAATACTTTGGGTCTCTGTGGAAGAATTGTAATTGGCCTTTTATCCTAGTATGCCATGGACATATTTCCCCAAACTTTGTGGCTAATAGATGTTTTCCCCTCCAAAACTGTAAGTTCCCTAGAGCTGTATGGTTTAGCAATTATGGGTGTGGCAATCCAATACATTTAGATGGTTATTGATGTACCACACTGAGGGTGAGGCCTATATAAAATCAGTCAGTTTGAAATTATAATCATGACCATATTTGCCTAAATTTCTTATTGTCTGTTGGCATCAACAATATTGCAATAATTTGGGAGTTACTTAGCCAAATGGAACAAACGTCTCCCAAGAACAAGTCTGTTCTGTGTTAAATCCATTTGAAGTAACACTTAAAAGCTGAGTTTACCCTGTCTGCTGCAAATTAAACCTTGTTTAAGGAAATACAGAATTGTGGTGTTAGACCGAGAGAAGTTAGCTGGGTCCAGACAACATGCTAAATCCCAAATCGTTTTGGGATTTTAACAAAAAACAATGGTTGCATAATGTGCTGTCTGCAAAAAGATATTCTAGTTGATAGTTCACAGTATTGGCTCAAAACAATGTCTAGATTTACTGCGACATGCTTATTTTAGAGCATTGTGGGTACACAATTAGACTCTTCTGTTTTAATACTATTTTAAAGGAATGTGGGGAAAAATCTAGATGTGCTAGAAATATTTTGTAATACATGAAGGTGGCCTCTGTTATGTCATGGTGAATTAGACTTGGTGCTATCATCTTGCTGAGAGAAAAGATTTAGGGCTTTGTGTGGCAAGGAATAAATCTCTTATTAGAATAGCCAAGTTACTCCTTGCTATTCTGGTGCAAGGAAAATATTGTTATTTATTTCCTTGCAAGGGAGAGGAAAAAAGCAAAATGCATACATTTCATGCACCTTGCTTCCTGCATATGTGTGTGTGTATGTTTCTCCTAGTTTGCTTGGATAAGGGGAGTATATTGAGAACTTTAAGCAGCTGTTCACCAGTGGACTTTCCTTCTCCACTAGAGAAGCAGTCTAGCCTGCTTCAAGAATGCAACCTGATATTAAATACCTTTCATTGCTGATTTTAAATGGAAGTTTGTACAGGTATTTTAAATACAAGAATGCTCTAGCTGGTGCAGCTTGTGTGATTCTTGATTTCTTTCTTCTCAGTGTTGCATAGAAGCTCTTGTATATTCTCAAGACTTTAGCATATAACCTCTTTCCTGCTTTTCCCCCTGAGTGTGCAATTCCTAGTATATCGGAGGAGTTAGTTTTCTGCCACCTTACCTCTTTGCTATTTTTGGTAGCAGATGCAGCCTTTTTGCCTTGTCCCACAACAAGATTTTTCCCCTTCTGCACAAGCTCTTTGGAGAGGTTGTGTTCTGCCTCTGAAGCAAGCAGCAGTTGTTTGAGAACCTGCTCCAGACTGATTTCTGTGGCCACCTGAACAAAAGCATAGGCCTGCTTACGTTTCTTGATCACTTCAATATCGTATCTTTGGAGGGTGACACTTGCCATGCTGAGGATGTCCTTCAACATGCTGCAAAGATCTTCACTGGAATACTTGGGATTTAAGTTTCCAATGTAAAGGAGATAGGTTTGGGTCTGTCCAGAATGATCTTCTGCCTCAGCTTTTGCTTCTTCCAAAGCTACCTCTGGAACCTGATCTACATTGCCAGCTACTTGTATGGCTTCTACTACCATTTCTGGAATTACGTCTGTTTCCATTTTCAGACCTTAAAGAAAGGTTTGCATTTGGTTGCATTTCTCAGGGTTTGCTAGTTGGAGCACAGAAGAGCTTACGTATTAGGTCATTCTACATTGGTTTTGCTTGAAAGTATCAGTAGTCCATGATTCAAGAATGACCTGTTCTTTTGTGGCTTGTTTCTGCAAAGTAGAAACAGAATTTTGCTCTTAGAAATGGTCAGGTGCATAAAATCTCTGTATGGGGATCAAAGCTTATGGGGGAAACAACCCACAAAAAATTTGACACTTAGAATGGGGATGTGTGTTAATTGTAAACCGATCATATGAGATTGCTGCTGGTGTTACCTAGCAACTATCTGCCAAACAATAGACTACAAAAGTTTACAATCAGATTTGACTTAATAGATTGTGTAATGAAAATTCAGATAGTACATTTATGCAATGACTTGATCTTTTTCAGTGACTATTCTATTGTAGTTTTTACACATTTCTCCTGAGAAGCTTCTTCAGAACGAAGCAACTTCTCTCCCCAGGAGAGTTGCACTTACTATCAGTTAGTTGCACTTACTATCAGTTCTCCTAGGTAGTTCTGGTACTTCAGTAATCTAATAGGGCTATGATTATGTGTACTATAATTATGCCACAACTAGTACTATAGTAGTACTATACTAGTTGTGGGCATAATTCCTGCTTATGTATGTTTATTCCGTCCTTTACTAGAATGTTGAGATCTGTTTGTGGTTTTAAAAAGTGAAACACTATGAATTCAGGAATTGGTTGAACAAGGGCCACCGTCATTCCATATGTGCATCTACTTGGCCATTTTTTCCCTTTCCCCTTTCTTAATTTCACCAAAATCATTTGGGCCAGATGGAGAAGTGCTTCCTTTGCACTTTTAAGGTATTTTAAGGTTTTTAAGGTATTGGGAATGATAAAGCATTGTCCTGCTGTAAGACATCCTTGTGGATCTTATCTGCCTTGTGTCCACTCCATGTCTACCATATCTCATCATGCCCATGGGTCAGAGGCATGTTGCGACTATGGTTGATGAAGAGGTGAAAAGACTGTTGAAATGGCCTGAATATATGGCAAAAATGAACACAAGTTAGTGTTTCTATTTCTAAGCTTGTAGCGCAATTAACTTGACACTCCATCCAAAGCTGTACAAACTTAAGTTTGTCTTACCTTCAGTTTTACATCCTTAAAACTCTTGTTACTATTACAAAGAGTTGGTTCTCATACATTTCTTAATAGCTGCAGGTTTGTTCAAAGGTTGTGCTGCTGCTAACCATGCTATTTCTCAGGTATATGTTCCAACTCTCTTTCAGAATTTAAACTGTGAGGTCATAGATGTTCTTGTGACGATTCTAACACATTCACTTGAACATATAGTAGACAACATGGTATGTCCCCTCAGCCGCCCTGAGTCCGTAAGGAGAAGGGCGGGATAAAAATTCAAACAAACAAACAAACAAAAAGATGTCCTTCATTGGCTCCATCTGAATTTGTTAAACAAAACATTTCACAGAGGTCAAAACAGAGATATTACAACTATTGGAAAGTAATAGTTGTTACTATTGAAAGTAACCAATAAGACTGGTATTCCTTTAGGTGGTAAAGTTTAAACCAAACTTATGCCACAAGTTGCTTCTGCTATGGTCATTAAACAAATGCCAGTCATTAAGCAAACCCACTGTTAGCCATGGGCATATTGTTTCCTGAAACTGGATGTAAACACTAATTTCTGGAAGAAAGTTGTAAATTGTGGTCATCTGATCACAGGGCACAGCAAATGGCTGTAAATACAGGCTGGCTGCTGAGCTTCCAAAGTGCTGTTAACCTGACCACGTATTTTGAGCCGAGATATATCTTGGGGGTGGGGGGAATCATAATTTGAATGGTTGCTGAATGACTGGTAGTTAAGTCAAGGACTACCTGTCATTACAGTAGTGACCAAAATTGTGGAAACCTTTTGGGAAAAGTGTACAGTAGAAATGCCACCTTTGGTTAAGTTTCCACCAATTTTTCTTCTAATTTCTTTATAACTGTAGCCTTGTTCACTTAATAATACAATTTTACATCACTTTCTGGGCAACCAGTCAACTGTTTGTACCATTACTTTAATTTTATTACGTTTTACAAGCTCAATAAATGAAAGAACACAAACAAACCCAACCAACTTGATAGCGATCACATAACACACTGACAAATGTCCTCCTCTCAGCTTCAATACATGACATCAATAACTGAATCCTACTGTGATCTGATTGGCTCATTGCCAAAACAAGATGACACCTGATTGGCTCTCTAAATACTCATGGTCATTGGCTACAATCAGATGAAGGAAAACTACCTGATATCAACCTAAGCAAGTTGTGCTTCCTTTTTCTGGTTATTTGGCTATAACTTTTAATAGAATACAGCACAGATAATTGAACAAACCATGTTGCATTACATTCTTGATTATCTTTCCATTGATATATAATTTTATGGTACTACTTAAAAAAGTGGTGTTATTAGCCATCAAACCTCAAAAATAAACTTTTCCCAAAAGGTTTCCACAATTTTGGCCACTACTGTATTTTGATTGGGAGCCACCCAAATTAGTTAAAAGATGGGCAGGTAAAGAGATGTTCTAAATATAAAATAAATTTATTTTGAATGTCCTGACAGATCATGGGGGTGAAAGTGCAAAGCACTATTTCCCACCAATCTAAGACCGTGCAGTAAGACCAAGTAATTCCCCCCCCCCCAAATTAACCTTGTTTTGGGCTGTGTTATGAATTCAGATTTGGGAAGGTCTGCATTTAGTGTCTTATGATTAACTTGAGCCAATAAAAACCCACTCATCCTTTTTTAAAAATTTTATTTATAAACAAAATCATCAAGAGTAAGTGCAGAAGAGAACATTGGCAGGATTCTTCCTGCTACCTGCTGTAGGCAGTGCTTACAGAAGTGATATTCTGCAACCAGGCAGTAATAGCAGAAACGGGTGGCCTGCCCCAAGGGGCTAAACTGGACAACCAAGATGGTGGCCGAGTCACACCATTCCAGCATATTGCAGTCATTGTTCGATCCTCCTTTCTGGAACTGGTTTATTGCCTGTGAATTTTCATTCTTTGTTTTAGAGGCCCTCTTGCCTTGTCTTCTGGCCCTTGTCTGGGAGGAAAGAAGCAACCAGAGGAAGGAGCAGCGGCGTGTGTAATTTGGCAGAAAAAAATGCTACGAAAGGCCTGTACCTTTGCCTACCCCATCTCCCAGTTCAGGAATCAGGGCAGGAGAACAGCGATGGGCAACTGAGTCTCAGCATTCACTTGTGTGCATCCCAAAGGGCAAGCTGCTACGGTTATTCTGGAGGAATGAAAAAAGCATTACACGCTTGCTTTCCAGACACAAAGCACATTTCAGTGGAGAACCTGGAGAAAAGCAGAACGTTGGGGCACCAGGTTATGACCTCCTCTTCCTCCTCTTCTCATTTGCCAGCAGCAAAACCTCTCTAACTACAGGACAATGGGGCCACCCTCTCAAGTGCCATAAAAATAAATACATTAATTATTTTCCAGCATACACGCAAAATGATTCAGGTTTCCCTACTGGAATTGGTGGGGAAACATGAAAAAGGAGCCTATTTCAGCATCTCTTTGCTATCCCATGTGCCTGTCAGGTAGCTATCAAGGAAGGTCTGCCAGGGTGAAGTGGAAGGTATATTAAGTGGTACCACTGTAGAAGTGGAGACGTGGAATTGCCCAGGGGAAAAGTTAAAATGGTTGCCATCTCAAGAGCAAGTAGAAAACGTTCAAGCTTGAGGGCAGGAGGTTGCTTAATTGTGTGCCCTGTGCCACTTCAGTGCCTCCCATCCTCCTGGCTCATTTGTAGTGCTGGAATGGTAAATAACACAAACACAGAGCCTCTGCTTGTGTCGAAATAAATATTAAGAATTGTCTGCTTATCAGCCAGCAATGTGAGTGTGTGGGGAACAAAGCCAGCTTGAGTCCTCAATACAGGAAGAGATTAACAGCACCTAGTGAGAAGTGAGAAGAGTGATCTGCAGGCAGGTAGTATAGCTCGCTGGATAGGGCTCCTGCCAAAACTCCCACCCCACCCTGCACCCAAGGGAATGCATCTGGGGAGCAGCAGTCCTCGGTTGGCTTCTTCTAATCTGTTTCTTCTGTATGGCACAGAAGAGTAACCTCTTGACGTCTTCCTCCTATTGCATGAAGAGGCTTCTCAAAGAGAGCCGCAAAAGAAGATGCTGTGATTAAAAAAGGAAGGACCAAACAGCTGAGTCTAATGCAAAGGTAGCCCTGCCACAGCTCCACACACAGGAGGCATCATCGCCTCGGTCAGGTATGGTCCCAGATGCCACCAGCGGAGAGCTGAGGAAACTTCTCCCTTTGTGAGAATCCGTCTGAAGCTTCATACAATGGTTCCGGATGCCTAGGACCTTCCTCCTGCAGGAAGTCACCTTTCTTTCGCTGGTTAAGAAAGATGTCCTAGTAATTCTGTGACGCAGTGGCTGCAGAAGGGAGACACGTGTTACGTGCCTTCGCGGAGAGCTGAGAGGGCCGTGATTGTGCCAAGAGGAGTCTTTTTCAGAACTTGCCCTGTTTCAACTTATCAATGTGGTAGGTGAGTTTCAGCGCCGGCCCCAGTTTCAAGCCCATGTACTTCATCATCATGTCATTACGCAACAAGAGTAAGGCCTTGCCATCAATCTCCTGTAGGCATAGAGCAGAAAGAGCCATGTTTGTGCTATGTCAGAAGTAAAAAGAGGCTGGATTAGGGTGACTGCTGATCTATGAGATAATACATGACAGAGGTGCCTAATTTTGCAACATCAGTTGCATAGAAAAAAGAATTTTTTTGACATGCCTTGACATTATGAGTGACACTTAACAAAAGCCCTTCATTTACATAAGCTTTACATGGAAATTAGAGGCTTAGGGTTTGGCTTTTTTCTTAGCTACTTGGAGAAAGTCTTTAAAACTGGAATTCAGCCTTTATATAACACTCATTGAGTAAAGCAGCTATTTACATCTCTGCACTGTACTACTCCGTCTCTCTACTTCAATTCTTATGCTATCATTGATGGTCAGATATATTCATCCTATATTGCCCAAATAATCTTGTTTACTGTTGGAAGGCACCAAAATTTTGCCTCCTGTGTCACTGAGAGATATTGATCTTCTCAGATGGAAAAAACCTCCACAGAATTATTAATAATATGTTAAAAACTGCCTTATCAGCAGGAACCATCTGTTAGGTGACAGCACTTCCATCAGGAGGAAAATACTACCCAGGCCAAGTCTGATAACCCTGAAGGCATATTTACGTGTTTCCGGAAGAGATCTGCATGGGGTCCCAGCTGGGGGTCAGCGTCTCTTACAAACTGCATGACATCTTCTACTGTCCAGGCCGAGGGATCCCGGGTGCCCGACCGTGAAGTGTCTCGAGAACTCAGGTATCTGTCAGAGCCTGGGGGCATAATGAAAAAATGCAAATAAATACTGGTGCTGCAAAAGCTCAGGGATCCATGCTATTGAAATAGCGGTTTCTGTGACACTCTTTAAAAAGAACAACCACTGTCAAGTTTAATGAATTACAAGTAGTCCTCTACTTATGACCACAATTGAGCCCAAAATGTCTGGTGCTAAGTGAGACATTTGTTAAGCAAGCTTTGCCCCATTTTACCATCTTTCTTGCTACAGTTGTTAAGTGAATAACTGCAGTTGATAAGTTAGTAACCCGGTCGTTAAATAAATCTGGTTTCCCCATTGACTTTGCTTGTCAGAAGGTTGCAAAAGGTGGTCACATGATCCTAGGACATTGCAACTGTCATAAATCTGGCTCAGCTGCCAAGCATCCAAATTATGGTCATGTGACCACGGGGATGCTACAGTGTGAAAAACAGTCATAAGCCACTTTTTTCAGTGCCACTGTAGGTTTGAACAGTCACTAAATGAATTGTTGTAAGTGGAGGACTTCCTGTATTTGCACCAAATGCTTTTAGATGGGTAGAAGGAGTGCCACTTCATGCCCAGGATTCATCAAGTCCCTGCCTTGCTATTAGTAGGACAAAGGTAAAGCTAGACTGCCTCACAGAAGAAGAGTTTTGAGGACCCTTACCCCCAGCACCCAGTCTATGCCCAGCAGTAGCGCTGCACTGAGTGAGGCTGGACGGCTGATGAAGGTGTCGGTATCCCTGCAGTCGGAAGTCCCTTGAGTTCCGGATGGGGCTAGACACGCTAACGGCATTCAAGGCTGAGTCGATCGGGTCCAAGCGAGGCTCCAGAGGAGCAGGGAGACTGTCATTCAAGACAAAGGTTTCACCTGAAAGACATAAGCAACTGGTGAGAGAGGTGCAAGCAACAGTGACACTGTTGCAGTGTACACAAACATCTTGAGTCAACAACGTGGAACAAATTTACTCAGCTAGAAAGTTGGGGAGGAGGAATTATTTTCACCATTTTGTATCAGGTTCTTCGAGATAATTTTTCCCTACATAACTAAGTTCATTCATTCTCTTCATGTCCTAGAACAGAGGTCCCCAACCTTTTGGGCACCAGGGACCGGTTCTGTGGAGAGATTTTTCTGCGAACCGGAGGGTGCATGGTTTTGTGTGCTGCCTGCATCCCGTGGATGGGGCTTTGCTTGTTTGTGTGGACCGGTTGCTGGCATGCTATGACCGGGTACTGGTCCATGACCCAGGGGTTGGGGACCCCTGTCCTAGAAGTACTTCTGCGTGGAAAACAGTAGATATGTTCATTCTGGAGCACTTCTGACCAGCCAATGCAGTGGAAAGGCTAAGTCTTTTCTTACTAAAAGAGACCATATTTTAGCATTCCCTAGGCATGTTATGGCAGGACTGCATTAAAATAAAGCACCAAGAATCCTGTAACCTTGGTCCTGCTTTTTCTTTTACTATTGAAATAGGAACCTATCTAGACATTCCTTCATCTAAATTCTGCTGCTTTTTTGTACTTAGGTGCCAGTTCTTGGACAGAATAAACATGAAGTGTTGTCTGGCACCCATTCCTCATTTCATTCTGGCAGAAAAGTAAATTGACGTTAAGGAAAAAACTCTCCAAAACCTCTGAATTTCTTATGTGCTGCTGTTCGTTCAATGCTACATGAAGGGTGTACAGAAAAACTTGTGCCAGTAATGCTTCTCGATCGTGTATGCCATCAAACCCTCACACCTTCTGTGTATGAGACTTGGATCTGCTGAGATATGGCATTATCTTTAAAATATCCCCAAAGGGGTGTCACACATTGGTCACCCAATGGAACCAGGATGTGTTCACAGTTCAGCTAATGAGATAAGTTCAAGTCACTTTTTTTTTTTAAAAAAAATCTCATCTTACTTGAACTACTCACCATAAGCCTTTAAACAAAGTAAAGAAGCTACAGTCCATACAAACTTTCCCTTTGTTGTACAGAATGCAAGAGTTAGAAGGGACTTTGGAGGTCTTCTAATCAAGGAGGAGATCCTATACCATTTCAGATAAATGGCTGTCCAATCTCTTCTTAAAAACCTCCAATGTTGGAGTACCCACAACTTCTACAGCCAAGCCATTCCATTGACTAATTGTTCTCACTGTCAGGAAGTTTCTCCTTAGTTCTAGGTTGCTTCTCTCCTTGATTAGTTTCCATCCCTTGCTTCTTGTCCTGCTTTCTGGTACTTTGGAAAATAGGTTAACCCCCCTCTTCTTTGTGGCAGCCCCTCAAATATTGGAAGACTGCTAGCAGGTCAGCCCTATTCCTCCTTTTCATTAGACTAGACATACCCAATTCCTGCAACTTTCTTCGTATGTTTTAGTCTCCAGTCCCCTAATGATCTTTATTGCTCTTCTCTGCATTCTTTCCTCAACAACTTTTTTCATCTTGCTGTCTGAATCACTGGAGAATTATCTTTTTGGTGACCAAAACTGGATGCAGTATTCCAAGTGTGGTCCTGCTTTCCTCGCACTTTCCTACTGAAAGCAAGGCAAATTACTGCAAGCATAAGAAAGTACTATTTTCCCTCCTGAAATAGTTCTAAATGCTTATGTGCCCATAGTCATATGGCAACATACGTCCATAAATGAGAGGAAACCTTTTTATTAAGAGACTATGGGCCATGAGTGGCAAAGATTACTTGTGTGACAGAAGCTGAGGGACTTTCAAAGAAGTAAGATGTTAAAAATGTTGATAGCTCACTTACTTGTCTTAATAAAGAAAGAAACAACATTAATTACGGTAAGAGTTCAACTAGTTCAGAATCCTGTTCCATCTAGCCATGAATCCTATTCCCAAGTACCATATGTCCTTAGATGCTATCTGGGAAGCTCACTAGAATGTGAAGACATTGTTATTGTCCTCAACAACTGGTATCCAAAGGTTATAAGAAACAGACGTTTCATACAGTTATCATGGATAAGAAATAGTGACAAAAAGTCACTAATTTTGCCTTTCAAACCTGTAGGCATAAACATCAGATGGGAACAGAACATTAATCTTCAGCCCATGATGCCTCTTGCAAGCAGGTCCTTCTTGTACTTGCTTGCACTGAGAAATAAGATTGTGCTAGAGAAGACCATTCATCCCATCTTCACAGAAATGGTAGAACTGCTCACATGCAGGAATCAAAGCATATTTTGTCCGCCTGAACACAGCCGAATAATGTCTTGTATGGGAATAGGAGAGGCTGATATTTTATTTCAGGATATTGTGATTGCTAGAAGAGCCATGGTGGTGCAGTGGTTAGGAGGTAGTATTGCAGGCTAATTCTGCCAACTGCCAGCAGTTCGATTCTGACTGGCTTGACTCAGACTTTCTGAGGCTGGTAAAATGAGGACCCAGATTGTTGACTCTGTAAACTGCTTAGAGAGGGCTGTAAAGCACTGTGAAGTGGTATATAAGTCTAAGTGCTATTGCCCGAAAGTGTAGAAAAAACCCTTAATTCCAGTAATATAAATTTATAGATGGCTTTTGTTCTCATAGTTATGCACAGGTAATGGGAAGCATGTAGATTAAGAAGCCCGCCAAAGAAGTTAGCACTTCTGCTTGACACAGAGGAGCAGAAGGCATGGTCAAGATGGCAATGTCTACAGTGCACAGCTGAGCCAGAAGCAGAACACAGACATGAGTTTCAACCTATGCTGCTTGTTAAAGAAATAATATCAGAAAGGCTGGGAAAAGAGGCTGTGCTCACCTTCCAAAGGGTGATGGTCATTCTTTGGTAACTTGGGGGACAGAGGAGCGCTATATGGAGGGAAATCTTGGGAATACCTCTTTGTACCCCGGGCTGGTCCCTGCAGAGAGCCGTGTAACGAAATGCTCCTGTCTAGGAAGAGAGAACAAGCCCTGCTTAAGATCAGCACCTTCTTTGGGAAACAAATGTTCTGCCTCATAGCAGCAGAATTGCCATACTCTATGGACTGGTCATTGACTGCCATAATTCTTTTTCTTCTCTTATATAGTCTCCCCCATGATCTATAAGTCCACCAGCAGAAGCAGCTGTATTGCTGAACTGAAGGATGATTTTGAAATCTCTGGGTGTTACCAATTATCTCATCATGTCTTCTGTTCTATGCAATAACTGAAGAATTTTATGAAAGGGACAGTGGCATTTCCAGGGCCAATAACGGCTTCATCAGAAGAGAGTTTTTATTTTTTTTAACGTCTTTTTGTTCTCCTAAGTGAAAAATTGGTGTATCATTTCCAATACATCTTAATTCTTATGCATGAAATGGGGAATCTATTGCAGGCTCTTAACAGAGTTGAGCAATGACAAAATGCCTCTTTATAGTTAATTTGATCTCCTTAGTTGTTTTGTGCAATTGCTGATTTTAAGCTTTCTGCATGTCATTATTCCTTGATTGTTTGCAGTGGTGCTTTTCAAATGATTCTTAAAAAGTATTTGCTCATCACAGGGAAATTTCAGAGCTCTTTGTTTGGCTGAAATGGGTAAGCTTCAGAATATGAAGTTAAATGCCAAGACAGCTATTTGTGAAAATCATGTAAAGGTCAATATTAAAACACAAAATAACAGCTACAAGATATTCAACATTTCCTTGTTGAATATCAATGCCTACTTTTCTAACTCAAATTTCTTAAGACTGGCACTGGCTGATTTTAAAACATATGGGACCATCACCCCAGGAAATTGATAAATTAGATTTAAAATTTACCAGTGGTTCTCTAAGTTCATTTAGCATCTTCTGTGAATTTCAGATGTACAAAAAACACAATCCCCATCTTTTTCATATTTTGTAATAAAAACAGTTCTAATGTTATTTTATTTTCACTGGAATCATTGGCTGTTCTAATCAGAAATGATTCAGAAACATGTACATTTCAGTCTGTGCAAGATGGATCAATAACAATATGATAAAAAGAAACAACTCAATAATATTATACAACCTACATATAGTGCCTGGGTATCTGATGATTGGATAACTTAACTGGTCAAAGGTGATATCTCCAAGTCATTCTAGTAACATAATCCTCAAGTATTATGTCAAGTCCCGACTGGGAATTCACAGCTCAAACTCACTATGATTCTGGTGATCAATAAACATTGCAAAGTAAATTAACTCAGTAGTTGTGTTTCTTGGGTAATATGCTTATCTGTAACGTGGACAGGGTTAGCAGGTTATGTCTGAAGGCCATGTTGTCATCTGTTGCTTATTTATTTCAGATAGATAGATACATAGATAGATAAAGAGAGACATAAATATATATCATATCATATCCATCATCTGTCTGTCTGTCTGTCTGTCTATCTATCTATCATCTATCTATCTATATCTATTTATGAAAACTATCTAGATAGCACACTGTAATCCAACAAGGAGACCACATCCACCCCACTCAAAACCCCAGGAAAACAGCCAGGTTTTCAAGGCCTCCCAGAATACTGTCAGAATCTTCACAGTGATAATACAATTGAATTCATTTTATTTTCTATAAAATTTTGAGTATAATTTCTCTAAGTCTGGCTTTGCTGGAGGTGATTTTGAGTATCAACCAGACATTACATCTGTACAGTAACTGACAGATATTATCCATAATAGGCAGCTTCCTTAGATTAAAAACAGGAGAGGACCAGATGTGAATAATGGACAAATACTGTTCAGTTTATGGAATGTACTTTTTCTTAGTGCTCTTTATGAAGCTAGAAGGAGTGATCAATGATGGTGTGACAACACTATTGTGATTAGGGCAAAATTTTATCCCTCCCCCCCATTTTGGTGCGTGTGGGTTTTTTTAAGAAGCAGAATCTAAAACCAGGAAAAGCTGGCTTAATTTGGAGAGGTGTTGGAATTTTTAAGGGATAGGTTTCTTAAACTGCTTCAAAATTCTAAGGAATCCAAAATGTTTACCCGCAAGAAGCCCAGGACTTGTTTAACTCTGAATTACAAGTTATTTTAGTATAAATAAAAATATGACTTGAGGGCTGATATGGAAATGTTGTAATCTTTGGATGCTGTTCTCTAGTCTAATATGACAGTGTATAAAGTGTAATCTCCAACATTCTGGCAATTACTGCTAAAACTTGACTATCAACCTGGACTATATTTACCTATATCCATATGCATTCAGATCTTCTATAGAGCTTTAACAAGTTGGAGAAATATATACACTTTGAACAACTGTGATTTATTGCTGATCTTTGTGCTGGACTTCACCTGAACTGACTACAATACTTCTATTTCATTTTGTGAAATCAGAAGAGTTTTTTCTAAACGGAATTGGTAAGAGGGGAATAAGCTCTGAACATAATTCTACCTAGTTTTTGAGCTGACATGAATGGTTTTATTACATACATTATTCTATGCCTATATTTATCTATCTTAAATTCAGATTTCTTAAAGCATTTTCACTCCATCATGCTTAATTAAATAACGGAACAGTGATGCTTAGATTAAAAGCTAAAAGCCAAAGTATAAAGGGCAATGCTTAGCTTTGGCTAATTAAACTTTCACTGATGTCAGTGGGTTCACTCTAAATATGGTAATGTCTGGATCCACCAATACCTACTAAAACACCAGGAATTTGAAGATATTAGGGGTACTCAAATAGGGTAGTAAAATGATCTCTATAAGTTTGTTTTTGCAGTGAAAGCCAATTCTCTCTCTGAATGGTATTGTGTAGTTCAAAAACTACTACAAACCTGGGAAATAATCTAAATTATTCACTTCCTAGCCCAATACAGACTACAGGTAGTCCTTGAGTTACAATCACAATTGAGCCCAACATTTCTGTTGCTAGACAGTTGCCCCATCTGATGACTTTTCTTGACACAGTTGTTAAGATTAAAGAATCGCTGCAGTTGTTAAGTTACCGCGTTTTCCCGAAAGTAAGGCTTACCCTGAAAATAAGCCCTAGCCTGATTTTTTTTGGGGGGGTAGGCCTAATATAAGCCCTACCCCAAAAATAAGCCCTAGTTTTGGGGTGAGGCACACACTTAAAAATCAAGTTGGGGATGGAGATGTGGATCTGCCCCATGTGCCTCACACCCACCACCTTGCAGCCAGGCCTCTCCTTGCCGGCCCACTTCTTCTGAGGCCTCTTCTGCAGCCAGCCCTGCATTTCTCAGTCACAGGCCTTTCCTGAAGGCCTCTGCAGCCGAGGACCTAGGTCAGGGGTAGGCAACCTCGGCTCTTTTATGACTCATGGACTTCAACTCCCAGAATTCCTGAGCCAGCATCGCTGGCTCAGGAATTCTGGGAGTTGAAGTCCATGAGTCCATGAGTCCATGAGTCATAAAAGAGCCGAGGTTGCCTACCCCTGACCTAGGTACTCAGCTGCAGTGGCCTTTCAGAAAGGCCTAACTGCAAAATACAGGATGGAATGCAGCTGCAGGATGAAGCTGATCCTTCGGCCCCAGAAGGAGTAGGCCTGCTGGGCGGGGCTGTCGGTGCCAGAGGTGAGTAACGCATCCCCCGAAAATAAGACCTGGTGCCTCTTTTGGAAGAAACACAGTAGTAACACGATTGTTAAGTGAATCTGGCTTCCCCATTGACTTTGCTGGTCAAAAGGTCACAAACGGTGATCGCATGACCCCCAGGACACAGCAACTGTCATAAATATAAATCAGTTGCCAAGCGTCTGAATTTTGATCACATGACCATGGGGTTGTCACTTTTTCCAGTGCCGTTGTAACTTTGAACGGTCACTAAATGAACTGTAGTAAGTCGAGGACTGCCTGTATTAAATAGAAATGCATAGCTGGAGTAGGCCAGACAAATTAGCCCAATTAAAATACTGCTGAAGGCTCTGTGGACATCATTCTTAGAATGAAAAAACAGCTAAGCTGCACAAAGCTGTCAGAGGACCAAGACAAAAGACCTGTATATAGTTATTATTTCTTGCTTCATTGCCTTTGCTAGTTATATATAATATCATTACACATCATCCATCTTACTTTTCCTTCTGCCATCCCATCATAAAGAGAAAAGGAAAAAAAATGCAGTCGTAAAAAAGAAATAAAAAGGGTCAGTCTTTAAAGCAGCTTCCACAGGGTCTATCAAAGGTACTGGATGAATTCAGGGTTCTTTCAAAAACCCACATACCAGATCTTTGGCATTTCAAAGGGAATTCAAGGGAAAGCATTATTTTTCTGAAAGCTGTTCAAAAATAAGATAAATAAAGTGAAACTTCAACTTAATGGAATCCCAACTTAATGGACTTTGGATGCAACCAATTTCCGTCCAGAGATTCTCCTGAAATAACTGACAAATTTATGACATCTGAAGTAGTCTGGGCAAGGCACTGACATTTATGCTAATGTTGCAAATGACACAAATGAAATAATTGCAATGAATGATATAAATGTCCATTTCAACAGACATTTGGAGTAATCGGTACCCTCTTCCCCCAATTGGTCTATTCAATTAAGATTTTACTGTTACACTTTGCTTTTTAGCTTTCAAGTCATATATCATAGTTACCCCCACCAACAACCCATGAACAATAGTAAGTCTGTCATTGTATTTTTTGTCTCAGATAATGTATTTAAAACATAGACTCTGAGGCACTTAAATAATATTATTAGAAGGAAAGGCCCTATCAACATGTTCAGCTCTATATCAGGTAAAATAAAATGCATACAGATAGTCCTGGACTTACAACTGGTCACTTAGTGAACATTCAAAGTTATGATGGACTACCCCAAAGGTATTTATGACCTGGTTCTGAAGCTTGGACAGGCACTCCTCCCCTTATAATTATGTGATCGCATGTCAGGTGCTCAGCAGCCAGGTTGCATTGCAGCAGTCCATGGCCAAATCACCACGTTTTATAACATTTTTGTTGAAAACTAGTATTTACTACTGGTTTTCAGGAAAAAAATGCCCCAAAGCGAACAGTGGGTTCGCTTTATGACTACAATGTTTGCTTTAAGACTCCAGCAGTCACTTTGAGACATGGCATTTGCTTAACGACTGATGCAAAAAAGGTGATAAAATCAGGTCTGTCATGTGGGTGGATCTGTTTTTATGACTGTTATGAATTACGACTGAAATGGGTCATAAGTTGAGAACTACCTGTATAAACTTTGCTCCAAGTTTAAAAAAGGCACACAAGAATAGGCAGGGGGTAGGAATAGGTTCAAAATGATTAATGAATCTGTTTGGCGAAACTTTACTCCACCTGCAGAGATTAGCATGAAAACTCTCCGAGCCAATTCTTACCTGGCAGGTATTTGTCATGGTCATATTCTCTGGAATGATGCATGTGGTGCTGAGTGAAGGGCTGGTTCCCAAAGAGGTTGTCACTTCGCAGGTTGTGGCACAGTTTCTCAAGGAAACGGAGGACGTAAGTAATGCTATTCACTGCTGGTAAGTTTAGAGTGTGCTGCTCATGATCAAACACAGCTGAAAGAGGAAACCAACAAAGCCAAATATATAAAAATGTTACAGAGATGACCAACAAAGCTCAACCTCCCCCCCCCCCCCCGCTGTCCACTTGTCATTCAATCTAATAAAATGCTTTCCAGATTTAATGACTAGAACATTACTCCAATGCAGGGGTGGGCAACTTTGGCCCCTTTACTACCCATGGACTTCAACTCCCAAAATTCCTGACACAGCCAGAATTCTGGGAGTTGAAATCCACAGGTCATAAAGGGGCCACAGTTGCCCAGCCCTGCTCCAAAGATTTCTAAAAAGCGCATGATGCTGCATTGTCACTATTAGAACCTCATGGCTAGATTGTGGCTAGCAGGCATGTTTCCTGGGAGATATTTTCCCCAAAAGTAGGACAGATGAGTGTTACCTGAAATAATCTCTCCTCCATGGCCTTGCTTAAGAAATGAGAAGACAGTTTTCTGGTGGTAAGCACAGTCAATGCAAGCTTGGACTGCTTGCTGCAGGACTACGGACGCTCGAGCTGGACCAAAATGGTCAGGCAATTGCTGGATTTTCTTTTTGTCCAGATGAGGGCCAGGGCTACAGTTTTTATTCAAGTAGATGCAAACTAGTTGGGGGGGGGGACAAAGGGGAGAAAGGACAAGCAAACACATAAGAAGCCTTCAATACTTAATTTGAAAAAACAGAAGACTGTAATAACATTTATCCTCTATTGGTTAATTCCTAATGCATGAACATTTGTAAACACAAAATGGCCTTTTTTAAAAAAAATGTTTAGTCTGTGAGATTGCAACAAAGATACACTGTTCTTCATATGCTTATGAATTCATCTTGAAACACTGCCTCATAATTCCTGGAGAAATTGTACAGTTAAACAGGTCAACCACAAAGCACTTCAATATTTTTAGTCTGATGCCAGTTACACGAACAAAAGAATCACCTTGGACAATCATTCTTTTGCCCTATTTTTTCCTCTATCATATGGAGTTGCTACCTTCTAAAAATCTCCCTCATTAGGTTTGTCATTCATTTATAGATTTGTTCATTTATTTGATTTCTAATTCCATCCAGGTGCTAAATGACTCCAGGTGGCTTACCAAGAGTATGAATTTGAAAATGTCAAGGTACTATAATAAACTATAAAATCAAGATAATAGAACAGCCACACCAGGGGAAGACAAAACTCAAAATACATTAAGATTGCCATGAGTTCACTAATCATCCCAGCAGAATGCCTGCAGGAAGAGCCAGGTTTTTTTTTCTCTCAGAAGAACTTTCAGAAGTAATAGGAAGCAGTTCCTTACCTGTAGGGGCCTGCATAGCAGAACTGGGAATAGTAGCTGCATCTTGTGGTACCGTACTTGTGTCAGGCTCAGGAGTGCTAGTTGTAGGGGAAGTGGGTGCTGGGTTTAGTAACGTTCGCGGCTTTCTCTGAAAATCAAAAAAGTTTAATGGCTTTCAGTGGAAGAACAAAGTCTACTGGGTACAAGGAAGAAGTTGTTAAGAACTGATATTACTGCATCAAGGACAGGCTGTCAGGAACATAAAGAGGAAATGGTGTCTCTGACAAAAGTGTATGAAGCCTAATGAGCGATAAAAATATCTTGAGTCAACAGCAACCACCAAGGGGAGTGGCATAAAAATTGCGATTTATAGCGGTGACAAAGATTTTAAGCAGTTGGCTGTCTTTGCTTCCTGCTTTTCCACTACAGCAGTGGTCCCCAACCTTTGTGGGTTAGCGGCCTGGCTGGGGGGGGGGGGAAAGAAGGGAATCGGGCCATGTGAGCAGGCGTGTAGTTTGACTCGCGCAAGCAGTGGGCCAGCGCACTTGTGCACATGCGCACTTGTAAGCAGGCCCACGGTCCAATTGCAAATAGGCCATAGCCCGGTAGTGCGCCGTGGCCTGGGGAGTGGAGACCCCTGCTCTACGGAGCTTGAAAGTAGCCTACAAAGAATCCTGATCAGTCCACAGCCTGTTCACATTTAGAATTAAAGCTCTTTCAAAAGTTTCAGTCCTGGAGAGTCGTCCTTGTGATTTTAAGGTAGTAAGCAGGAATATATGAAAAGTATATTATATCTAGTCAAAGGGTTTTAATTAATTAATGAACTGCCAGTTTGGCCTAGTAGTGGTTAAGATGCTGGCCTAGAAACCAGGAGACCGTGAGTTCTAGTCTTGCCTCAGGCATGAAAGCCGGCTGGGTCACTTTGGACCAATCACCAGGAGACTGTGAGTTCAAGTCCTTGAGTAGGAATGAAAGTCAGCTGGGTGACTTTGAACCAATCACTCTCTCTCAGTCCAACCCGCCTCCCAGGATTGTTGTAGGAAAATTAGAAGGAGGAAGGAATATTAGATATGTTTGCCACCTTGAGTTATTTATACAAAATAAAGTTGGGGTAATCGGCAAGCAAACATTCTTCTTCCATCTTTGGGCATACAATAATCTTGCTGCAGTGACCATATCAAGGAAGGAGGACTATGCTTGATAGTTCAGCCCGACACACTGATCACCTACCTTTCCACCAGGCTTTGGCCCCCTCTTTTTGGGGAATTTTAAAGGCTCCACTGCCTTGGAAAGGTTGGGGTTGGGATGGCTGGTCAGCACCTTGGGTGTCCGGCCTCTTTTACGACCAGGTTTGCGTCCTCTTTGTCCAGGCAGATGTTCCAGGATACTCTTTGTGCTGTTGTGTATGGTGCTTTTTTCAGAAATCACATCAGGGGCAGGGAATGGGGTCTTTGGAATGACTACTGGCATAAAAGAGGAAGGAGAGGAGATGATCAAGGACCACCAAAGCTTCATTCAAAAGTCTGTCTGGAAGACCTAAGGCATGCAATCATTCTGCTGGTGTGCTTGTATTAAGGTTTAAACTAGGGGTGTCCAACTTTGGCACCTTTAAGACTGGTGGACTTCATTAAAGCCATCTCTAGGGGGCTAAGTCTCTGAATAATATACAATAGTTTCAGCCAGCAGAAGGGTGCATATCTACTATGAGTGTATGAAATCCACAAAACCAGTGTTTCTCAGCCTGGGCAACTTTAAGAGTGTGGACTTCAACTCCCAGAATTCCCCCAAGCCAGCACTGCTGGGGATTTAAACAATTTTATTTTTATTCATCAAATTTATATGGTTGTCCATCTCATACAAGGTGACTCTGGGCAGGGTACAATAAAACCAATTATCCAAACCGATTGTCATCATTCATACCATCTAAAGTAATGACAGTGGGCAAGCACATATTTTTTTTAACATGCTGCCATTTAACTTGTTTTATATATTCTATTTTCACTTTTCTGTTGTTTTTTTTAATCATTGAAAGCTTTGCTAAACAGCAGTCTGGATAGCTTTTAAAACAAGCCACACAAAGAAAATGTGTGAAATGGAAAGGACTTCATTTCAGAAGATGCCAGTGGGTGGAGCACAGAGTCATCTAGGTCAAGATACTTATGCACAAGAGCTAACTGTTCATACATTTCCCATTCATACTCAGATGCAAGCATGTTCCTGAAGCGATAATACTCAAAAACAAAGGCTACAGAATGACTCTAGTTCCCATATTACATATTCTGCTACTACACAATACAGTAAGGTACCAAGATTTCTGTTCAACTCTCAAAACAGGCAGAGAACTGGGATTACTAGAAATACAACTCCCGAGAAATGGTGAAGTCTGGACAGACAAATCTATAGTTATGTTGGGGTTTATCTTCTGGTATTTCAACCAAATGACAAGGAGGAACAGAGGTACACGTCTTTTGACAGAGACATCATTTTTACCAATTTCTGCCTGAAGCTATTCTCCCTTCCAGCCTGAAATATCAAAGCTGACTAAACCCTTAATCTGTTCACAAATATTTGGAAAAAATGGTTGACAGGTACAGGAAGAATGTCAGGTGCCATTTAAAAACAATTAACTTTTATATGCTTGCTGAGCATAATAAAGTTGTTTGAACGGGTGACTGCATCAACCAGAACAAAGAAAACTGGGATGGATGCCTATAGTTGTGCTCCAGTGCTGTAACTTCCATTGCCCTTGGCACAGCAATGAAAAGAGTGCATCCTTTTAAAAGTCTCCCTTGCTTGGCAAGACCTTCCTGTGTCTCTGCCAGCTGGAATGGTGCCAGGGTTGAAACTCTACTCTTCACATTCCAGATCTCTTGATAATGCAGAAAATTGCCTCTAGCTCACAGTCTGTCCAAAGACAATTAACTCTTATGATCCTGTCTCCCAGCTGCTAAGAATGCCAGATAATTCAGGTTCATTAGTGTTGACTAACTTTAGCGGAGGTCACTGTGAATCCAAACTGTACCGCTTGATCCAGAGCGGCGCATGTTGCAGTTAAAAATTCAATACGTGTTGATGTTTGCCAGTAACCTTTAACGTTTCTTTTTAACTACGGGTAGTCCTCAACCTATGACCATAATCGAACCCAACATTTCTGTTGCTAAGTAAGACAATTGTTAAGTGAGTTTTGCCCCCTTTTATGATCTTTCTTGCCACAGTTGTTAATCACTGCAGTTGTTAAGTTAGTAACACGGTTGTTAAGTGAATCTGGCTTCCCCATTGACTTTGCTTGTCAGAAGGTCATAAAAAAGGGGATTCCATGAGTCTGGGATGCCTGCCACGACTGTCATAAATATGAGCCAGTTACGAAGCGTCTGAATTTTGATCATGTGACCACGGGAATGCTGCAGCGATTGTAAATGTGTAAAATGGTCATAAGCCACTTTTTACAGTGCCATTGTAACTTCAAATGGTCACCAAATGAACTGTTGTAAATCGAGGACCACCTATATTTCCCCATCATTTCTGCAGAATTTATCGATGCTCCACAACAAAGGTTAGTCTGTTGAGCAGCCCTGCTGATAAAGGCATCCTCATTTATCATTAACCATTTATTTTGCTCTCTGTGATAGAAGACTCACAACAGGGCAACAAGCAGCACCCAATCGTTGTGTAACCCCCAAAATCAAGACATCAAAAATATTAATAGAAGGGTTCTATCCATTTGAAAAGAACTACATGGCATGCCTTGCCAGCCAAGAGGTGAAGAGGCATATGAAGGGATCAACAGCTGAGGGAAGATCAGTTGCTAGTAGCTCACTCTAAAAAATAGGAACTGAGGATCTGGCCTGCCAGTTTCTCACTCCCTGAAAAAAAACATCTCTGAAAATCAAATGCAGATGAAGATAGAAGGATGATTCTTAATCCAAATTTTTTTAAAGGTAATTGAGTGTTCCTGAGGTATTGATATATGTCCGTAAAAATTGTTATCAACATGTTGGGCTAATTATCAAATACTTTTAAAATGTTGATAGGTAACTGATAGAGAGAAGAAGCAAAAACCAAACTATAGGTTAATACTTTTGTCCTTCTTCATTTAGCAATCAACGTTGGGATTTTCTGAATTTCTCCATCAGCCCCCTGAGATGCTGATTCATAATTATGCTGATGGTGACTAAAACGTGTATAGGATCATTGACATTTAGGCAAGAATACTAGAAATTTGAGCTTTCGTTTAAATGGAGAGTAGCTTATTACATACAGTACGTGAAGCTGGCAGCTTCTGTAAACTCAAGATTATCAAACAGATAATCTGCTCCCTCTAGTGCTAAAGAAGCTAAAATGCTCCAGAGTTTTTGCTGCCAACCAGCCAAACTCTAGTCCTAAAAAAAATCAGCATATACTCATTTTCCAACTATTTTCAAAGCTTGGTGTGCTTGAACAGTAGTAACCAAAGAAGGAAAATTTACAGACTACAGATATCCCTGGAATAATTGACTTCAGGTCTCCCACAGAGTTGGGATACATCTCCCATTATTCTCAGCTAGCATGCCCAACAGGGATTGTGTAAACTAATTAGGCGGACATCGTATTAAGAGAAAAATCATAGAAATAGAGGATACCATTGTATGATATCACTGCCCATTTAGACTTCTACTGTTGAATTGAGGTTGAACTTGAGATCTTTAGCATATAAAGCACATGTTCCACCACTAAGCTACAATCCAATATAGATCGTCTCTTGCATGGCTGGGAATGGATGGAACTGATTTATAAATTAATACAAAGAATGAATTTGAAGCATTACAAGACTGTTTTTTACCATATAAACAGAACTAGTGGACATATTTATTTATTTATCTGAATTTACAAGGCACCAAACTCCAAAAGTTTCCAAAGTTTTGCTTTCTAAAACACTATCAAAACTTGCCATTTTGTTCAGTGGGCAACTCTAAGTCATACAGGCAGGGTCTCTGCTAAATCTTACGGTGATCTGAACAGAAGTGGAAGATTATCAGCACTGATAAAAGCAGCATAGCACACGAGCAAATTGTGATAAGGTAATGCATCATCCGTTACAATCCTTTATACTTTTTTGTGGGTGTGGGAAAAATATGTTTCCAATCTTGAGAAAAGAATGCTTTGGGCCCTTTATTATTGCACTTTGTCCTATCCAATAATTCCAGAAAATCCAGAAGAATTATTCTGCACCTGCTTCTAAACTTGGTGTACATTCAAGAAATCAAGGAGGATGTGTGACTGCACTGTTACGGTTGCTTCAATGTTTGCGGTAGAGTTGCCAGCACTCAGATGAGCGTTGCAATGCATTATTACTATATGGGGATCCAGCAACAGTCAATCTGAACAGAAATGATAGGAAGCACTAACACATGGAAGTTGTTGTTACTGTTGCTAACTGGAGCAGGGCCTTGACTTCAAAGCATCTAATGAGGTGAGTACCAATGGAGACCAAGGCCAAAAGAGGAAAGGATACAGAAGAGGATAGGCAGTTCTTCAGTGGATTCTTTCACACGACCAAAATGTAGTGTGGCGCAGCGGTTAAAGTGAAGTATTGCAGGCAAACTCTGCCCAGCCTGGAGTTTGATCCTGATGGGGTTCAAGGTTGACTCAGCCTTCCATCCTTCAGAGGTCAGTAAAAAGAGGACCCAGATTGCTGGGGGCAATATGCAAACAATGCTTCCATACTGTAAACTGCCTAGAGACTGCCATAAAACACTATGGGGCAGTATATTAAGCCTAAATGCTATTGCTATTTTCACTCTAAGCCAGTGGTTCTCAACCTTCCTAATGCTTTAATACAGTTCCTCATGTTGTGGTGACCTCCAACCATAAAATTATTTTCGTTGCTACTTCATAACTGTAATTTTGCTACTGTTATGAATCGTAATGTAAATATCTGATATGCAGGGTGTATTTTCATTGTTACGAATTGAACATAATTAAAGCATAGTGATTAATCACAAAAACAATATAGCAATGCTCGCTGGAGAAGCTTACTCTTCCTTGCTCAAAAATGTTGGGNGAAGGAGATGGAGAAGGAAGGAGACTGAAGGGGAAAGGAAGGAAGGAAGGAGAAAGAGATTGAAGGGGAAGGGATGGAGACGGAGATGGAAGGAAGGAAGGAAGATTGAAGGGGAAAGGAAGGAGATGGAGAAGGAAGGAGATTGAAGGGGAAAAGAAGGAAGGAAGGAAGGAAGGAGAGAGAGAGATTGAAGAGGAAAGGATGGAGATGGAAGGAAGGAAGGAAGATTGAAGGGGAAAGGAAGGAGATGGAGAAGGAAGAAGATTGAAGGGGGAAGGAAGGAAGGAAGGAGAGAGAGATTGAAGGGGAAGGGATGGAGTTGGAGATGAAAGGAAGGAAGGAAGATTGAAGGGGAAAGGAAGGAGATGGAGAAGGAAGGATATTGAAGGGGGGAGGCACTGCCAAGGACACACAAGCAGCTCCGCACAATTGCCCGGGGAGGGGGGGAGGCTCTGGTGGAGAGCCAAGCAGTGGCACATCCGGGTCCTCGGAAGCTGCGCAGTGGCACATCCGGGTCCCCGGAGCTGCCGGCCGCCCTCTCACACCCGCCAATCTGGAGCCCCCCATCTTCATCCCGGCACCTCTTGCCCTCTCCCAGCCGCCCCCCGGGACCTGCCCGCCCCTCCAGCCTCCTGAGCGCCATCGCAGCGGCGGGGTCGCGGGAGCCCTTTTCCATTGCCGCCGCCTCACCCTCTTCCCCGCCCCCTGGCCGCTTCCACGGCCCAGAGCCCGGGAAGGAGTCGCTCCTGCCCAGCAGCCCCATGGCTGCGCCAGGTGCCGGAAGGCCGAGGCGGCCTCCGATGGTGAGGGAGGCGGGCCGGGCGGCGCGGGGGAGGCTCCCGCGCAGCGCGGAGCGCGGGCGGGCAACCAGGAGGCGTGGAGACTGGCTCGGCGCTGCAGCTCAGCTCAGCCAGCAGCGGTGGCAGCGGCGGAGCAACCCAGTGGCAGCGCCAGCAGCGGCCCAGACCTGGCTCGGCTCAGCCGCCCACGCAGCTGAGCCAGCCCAGGGCGGTGTCGGGGGCGCGCGCAATGGCGCTGCAGTGGCAGGAGCAGGCGCTGTCGGAGAAGGGCGTCCTGGAGGCGGAAGAGCCGGCGGAGGAGGAGGGCGGCGTCGGCGTCTCGGTTCCTAAGACCATCGGAAACATGTGTTTTCCGATGGTCTTAGGCGACCCCTGTGAAAGCGTTGTTCGACCCCCAAAAGGGTCGCGACACAGGTTGAGAACCGCTGTTCTAAGCAACCTTCTAGAGTCTAAAGGCCTGTAAGCCAGCTTTCCAAATCCTAAATAGTTCCCTGGGAAGTTACAAATCATCTAACGCTGGGCAAGAGAAGACAGTAAACTGGCCTGCAATAATAGGGACTTTTCAATGAGCAAACAAACATGTTCTTCACCAAGATTAGCTTAGTTTAACAAGCAATTTAGAGTGTAATAAACTATGTTCTATGGAATGCCAGGGTTCCCTGGACAACCTGAAGATGTTCTGCTGTCAAAAGCATTGAAGGTATTACTAGTCCCTCTGTCACCATTTTTTTTTTTTTTTTTTTACAAAACATGGATTTATAGCAATCATTAAAACCAGGAGTGTTTACTAAAATAGGCTGAACATTACAACTCTAAAATTTTCTTAATAATGCTTAATTCAGACACTGATGAAGTATGCTGCTATTAAGATTTGTAACCAATGCAATAAATACATGGAAAAATAAAATAAAAATAAAAATTGTTGTCTTCTAAAGGTAGAGAAAAGCTGATTTAATCCAAATCATTAATGCTTTATTGGAGATATATATTCATTCTTGTGCTATTCTTCCACCATCATCATTTTCTCCATGGCTGTTAATTTATTGGATTTATACCCTGCCTTTCTATTCTCGCAAACCTTTAAGGCAAAATCAAAAACGAAAAGATAATACAAAAAGTAAAAATACAGCAGAATGCTGGTAAACTCTCTGATCAGTGAGAATTTCTACAAAACTGGAGCCATTCTCCCTTGCCCTCCCTGTTCCCCAATCCTAGCTGACTATATTACAAAACACCCTGGCATACAAAGCTGACAGAGAAACACACTTATACATCAGTCAGGACTCTGAGACACATGGCAGGTTGGAACTTTCATCCAAGGCTAAGTTATGGGTAATAGAGAGGTTTTACTCAATGATCTGGTATTAAACAATTGTTAGGTTGGAGGAGCCACCATCTCTGTTGCTTTCTCTTCCTTGGTTAGGTTTACACCTGAAAGGAAGAGATGTCATTGGCTACCCTCCTTTTCCTACAACCCTCTGATTTTTGTCCGCCCAGGCCATTTTCAATGCCTCCCTCTCTTATTTTTCTGATCAATCTTATAGAGATATGAGATATAGATGGATGAATGGTGGTAGACACTGTGATGGTGCACTTACCTTTTGTTCCAGGGGGCTGTAAATTGTCACCAGTCAATGAGCACCAGCCAACAGGAAAGATGTCACGAGAATCATAGCGGCACCAGTAATCAAAGGCTCCCCTCCAGCCATCAAAAGTGATAAGGACTTCAGAACCCCGTACCTCACCAATGGTGGCTGGGCAGATGAAATGCGGGTTCTTCCTGTCTACAGCCTCAAGTTTCATTCCCATCTTAAAGAAATTCTGGGATGGAGACGGTGGCTCCTAGGGGAGAAAGACCCAGTAAACATCCTAAAGTCAACCGTAGGTCCAGACTTATTTGGTCACGTTTCTCAAAATGCTCTTGCACAAGATATCATAAAAGGTCAAGACTCTGCATCGGAATGACTCCAATGCTTCATTGCTCAATTTCAGATGCATTGTGATACTGGTTTTTTTAAAAAAATTGATTGGGTTGTACATCTGATTCACTTTTTTTTAACTGACTTAATTTCAAGAAAGCAGGAGGCACGGGAGGGCTATATTTGGGAAGTTCCTATCTGCAGTTCACCCAAAGGGTATTTTTTATAGTTCAAACGAAGTTATCCTGAATCAGTTAATGGTGGAAGAACAGAAGTGTGCTGAAAGTATCAAGTGCCCCATTTGAAAAGCACTGTGGAGAACAAAAATATGACAGTATAAGAAGAGGAAAAGCATTCTGCTCTGTGGGCAGTATCTGTTGGACCTGGACAGCATTAAAGTAAGGGGGTTAAAGATACATCCTGATTTTTAAAACCAGGTTTGAACATAATGACTAAACAGAGACACTGCAAGTCCAGACTTCTTGAAATAGCCAGCCAACCCTCCCTCTTCTAACATTCTTTCCCTTTTCCTGTTGTCAGGTTGAATTACGTTTCTCCCAAGTGTCAAGGTTGCTTTCAGACACCTGCAATAATTCTTACTAAAACCTGGCACACTCAAAAGAAATCTAGGACCCAACTTGATTATATAAATTTCCTTTCTTGCAGTTAAAGCAACCCAAAAAAAAGATAAAAAGCGGTTTCTACCAGTCATCTATATAAGCATAACAGTCTAAAATCTTGGCTCCCACCCTCACCCCCACCCCCCCATCTTTGGATCTCAATTGTTTGGTAGCTATTCTGTTCAAGTATATCTCTTGCACCCACCTTAATCTTTAAATGGATTTTTCTATATTCAGCTTTCCCTCTTGTTAGACTTTAATCTTAACACAAACACGTTCACACAGAAGGAATCCTGACTTAATTGATTCCGTTTTATTGCCTATAGAGACTCAGTTTCCCCAAGATTTATCTCTTCAGCCTACAGATATTACTCACAGAATCTCATCCAGAAATTCCAGCACATGTCCAAATACAATTCAAGATGCTGATTGTACATAAAGCAAGTAATGTGGGGCCAGGTTACTCGAGGAACTGCTTCTCCCTGATAGTTTCTGCCCGTCCCATCAGACTTCACAATGGACAAGCTCTGGGCCCCCAATGAAATATGTCTTCTCTATCATGGTACTTGTCCTGGGAAACAGCCCCCCCTCCCTGAAATATGGACAACCAGTCAGTCTTCTGGAAGCACTGGACCAGGGGGATTTTGAGCTGTCATGTGGGTGCAGCCTAATCTGCTAAGTGCTAGTGAGATTTTTTTAAGGGCCTTGACTTTGTATTTTTTAATGTAATGGATTGTGATTGTGTTCGGTTCTTATCCGTTCTGTTTTCTGTGTGCCTTGGCAGATGGGCAACTGTATAAATATATTAAACAAATATTGTTTTTTCAACAAGAGGTGTATCAAGCAGAAGTAGCCAGATTTATTTATCAAAAGAAATGGAACCATGTGGTTTCAGAGTATCAGAAAGGCTGCATACTACAGTACCTTATGGAAAATTCGAATGGGAGCCATTTCTGCTCCATTCAGAGTCTTCAGAAGAAACATAGGCCAAGAGGAAGCATTCAGACGAAAACCTGAAGTGGAGACGGAGGCTGTTAAAATAGTAGCTGTAATTGAGGACATCCTAGCAGTCACCCTTCCATTATGAAGGCACCAACACAGAATTCACTAATACTCCCAGCAAATATTTCCACAATGCATTAATCTATGAAGTTGTAAAGGAAGTGCAGAATTTACAGACATGAAAAATAGAATGGAATAATCCTGATAAGAAAACTTTAGTACAATATGGAAAGTTCCTCATTGTCATGGCAATAAACAAAGGAAGCCAAAGGAAGTGGTGCCGATGTAGTTCAATAAAACAGAACGATTATCCTTCAATTTTAACTTATTTTACTACTGATTCCAATAACATCAGTCTACTTAGATAAACAGTTAAGAATTCTATGAAAAAACCCTTCCAGATCAGTTAGTCATCAAATGTTCAAGGAACACTCAGTCATGCATCTCTTGAACTACACTCTATCAAAAGCCTTCAAAATATTTAAATTTAGTTTAAACCGACTTTCAGACTAGCTGCTATCCTAGTTACTTGTGATAAGGAAAAATGACCAGATTACGATATTTTGCAGTACAGCAAACAAAAGGAAATTCTCGAGATGGCTAAGCAGTCCTCAGCTAGTATGAATTGACTTGCTTACAACTTGGCGAGTAATTCCTTGGAATCCAGCACAGACAGCATAGGGGAAAACAAAATTAACCTCAGCAAATTTAGGAATCGATAACAGAATATGCTTTTCAGGAAGACAAAGCACGACTCCTGTAGATTTCATTCTCAGGAATCTTCTGTTAGATATGGCAAGAGGCACCAGGTGCTTGCAGTTTATGGGAGTCCTGAGGGATTTTGTTCTCTTCAGCATTAGCAGAAGAGGCCAGGAGCTTTTCTGAAAATGGTGAGTCATTTATATAAAAAAGATAGTGTCAATGGGACTTCCTCTACTAACACTCACCAGAAACAAAAGGCAATTAGTAAAAAAAGAGGGCCTCCTGGATTAGCAGACACCATATTTGTAAAAAAAAAAATCATATGCCAGGGATACCATTACTGGTATTGAAGAAAGTAGGGGCCAAAGAAGGTTTCAACTCACCTAAAGGAGGCTGGAGCATCCCGCCATTTTTTTCACAGTTGCCAATGGGCTGGATTTCTGCAGAATCTACCAGACGCCAGAAGTCATTCTTGTTGTCGCTGCCATCAAGGCGTAATCGGAGACGGGCACCTGTCAGCCCCACCACAGTGGCGATACAAGTTGACGTGGTGTTTCTGGGATCTTGGGCTTCTAACTTCATGCCGATCTTGAATTCATTGCTAGGCGGGGTATAAGACTGAGAAGAACAAGGCTATTGGTCACACTTCCTCCTTTAGGCAGCCCATTTTATACTCTCCCCAAACTCCTCTTCCTCCCTTCTCATTCCCTACATTGTTCCTGGCATCTGAACACCAATAAAACTTTTTCGGCTGTGATTCACAGTCAGTATGCAAAGAGAAATCAACAGGAATAAGAAACAGGGGGAAGAGAGGAAAATCCAACCATCAACAGAAGATTAATTCTCTTCAACTGAAGACATTAAAATCTAAACTTTTCCCCTTCCTTTTGTTCATCAATATCTTTTGAGGTAAAACAGGCAGAATTTCATATTCTAACCAAACTATCCCTCTTTATTACTACTAAACCCCTTTCACGCTTACCTTCTTCATTAAACACTCTTGAGGTCATAGAAAGCTCCCTTATGTAAGTTAGATCATTTACCCAATTCCTACGATATTGTCTACTTTGATACCTGATCCCACTGAACTGAATATGCTAGGAATTATACCCAGTACCTTTACATGCAGATTACATCTGATACTTTCTGCAATACTCCAAAATCTTTGCTTCTTGTACTTTCACTTTGCAAGTGATATTAAATCAACGGGCATGCTAAGAAATATACATTGATTTTTTTTGGCAATTATTCACTTTCGTCACTACAGTGCATTCCCTCTATGCAAAAGTGGCTTTTATTTTAAAATTCTAGTCAAAGACAATACCCAGTAGGTCACATCTGAGCTCAGATATGATGACAATAATCCTGTTTAATTTACATTTAATCTAAAACAATTACTTACATTAAGTCTAAAACAATCATAATGTATTATGAATGCATTTTCAATGGTCTAGGTCGGGGTCTGCAACCTTGACAACTTTAAGACTTGTGGACTTCAGCTCCCAGAATTCCTCCCATTCTGGGAGCTGAAGTCCACAAGTCTTAATGTTGTCAAGGTTGCAGACTCCTGATCTAGGTCCTTCCAAACTAGTTCCTCACATTGTCAGTTTTTTTTCTGTCTCTTTCCCTCTAACAGATTTCAGTGCTAAAAAGAAATGAAAGCAGTGTGGAAAAAGAGGAGAGGGAAAGGTCACAAGTGAGAAGCAACACTGAATGAATTTCCCTTTCCTGGAATTATTTTGTAAGAAAAACACAGGACATGTCTTATCTGGAAGTACAGATAGTCATTGACTTACAACCATTTGTTTAGTGACCGTTTGAAATTACAACAGCCCTGAAAAAGTGACTTATAACTGGTGCTGACGCTTACAGCCATGGCAGCATCCCCGTCGTCACGTGGTCAAAATTCAGGCGTGTAGCAACCAGCATGTGTGTATGATGGTTACAGTGTCCTGGAGTCACATGAATGCCATTTGCAACCTTCCCAAAGTCAAGGGTGGCAGCTTGATTTATTTAACGGTTGTATGATTCACTTAACAACTGCAGTGATTCATTTAACAATCGTGGCAAAACAGATTGTAAAATAGAGTGTGACTCATCCTTTGGTTAGCAATGGAAATTCTGGTCGTAAGTCAAGGATTACCTATACCCTTAGGTACACACAGCCCATGTTAAATCAGCAATACCTGCGAACTAAGGTTCCTGAGCTATTTTCATCAACTCTAGAACTCATAGTGCACCTTTTTTTTCAGTTCTGTTCTATTATAGAATTTACAACCGGGTACCTGCTTTGTTTGTTCTTCTCCCACCAACAGAAGGCAGAGGAGTCTATTCCATACTTGTATATGAGCCGACTAGAAGCAGACCCCTTCATCCCAACTCTTTTAGAACATGGAATGCTCCATTACCTGCTTGAAGCAATGGGCAGGAGCTGGGATGGAACATGTCTCTTTCAAGTATTTATCCCAGGCAAAATGACCTGAAGAGAAGATGGAGAACAAAGGTTGGCTGTGATGAAAGGTTTGAAGGCAAGTCTGAAAAAGCCTCTCTGTCTTCAATAAACAATTTGGAGCTGAGCTGGTTACTGAGGACCCTTTTTGCATCCTTGCAGAAAAAAAAATCAACTCTTTTTCAAAAATTCTTGGCCTGGATGGAGGTCTGATAAATGCTAAATTACCTAGGCATAAAAGGATCAGCCCAGGAAGAGAACGTTCAACTAAGCCAAAGCTTAAACCTAATTTAAGTTTTTGTTTATGTACTGCCCTTATAGCATGCTCAAGGGTCATTTTCTTAGGGACACACAGCAGTACATATATTCCAGCAAGGAACGTGGAATCTTTTATATTCTTCTTCTTCCTTTATTCTTCATGCCTTTGGAATCCCAGTATTACTGCATGTAGTTAAAAAGATTGTTGCTTACTTATTTTTAACATTCCATCCCACTCTTAGCTAACAAGCCTCCCAAAGCTGCTTGTAAATATCAGAAGTAAAGGAGTTTCTGCCACAGACAGCTTCATCATCCAAACAAAGAATTCAAGATAGGGTTGAATTACATGTTATGAAGTTTGAGACGTTGCAATGCAAATGGCAGCCATGAATCAAGTTCCCTTCTCTAATGTCTACTTCAATATACTGACATTTTACTCAGTTTTTGTTTCATTATAACACGATTTCCCTATCCATTGGCTCATCATTCTCAAGAATATGTTTATAACACTGGTGTCAGGATACAGGGTATTATGAATTCAAGGAGGAGGAGAAGGGAACACAGAAACCTGACATTTTGGCAATATTTTCATGTTATCTAAAACAGGCACTTCCATTTTTAGCTGGTAGGCTGAAGAATATAGTAATATTCTTCAAACAGTTGTGTACTGTCTTCTTAAAATGGACTGGCCAACTTAATATACTAATAAAAGGAAACTGTTAAGATTGCAGAGCTGGATCTCAATACAACACAGCTACTGTGTTCACAAAACATGCTAAGTCAGCATTTTCCAACAATGTGATTATAAACTTTAGAGAGACATTTGATTCAGTTAGAGGACGCTGACATTAGAAGCCAGATATGACCACAATGATGCCATGCCCCGAGTTCTACAAGATTTTCAGTCTGGCAAAAGATGGTCATTTATAACAGAATAACAGAGTTGGGAGGTACCTTGGAGGTCTTCTAGTCCCAACCCCCCCCTGCTTAAGCAGGAAAATCTATACCATATCTTAGATCACATAATCTTATATGATTGTCTTACTTAATATAATGTAATAATAATATAAAATATACTTATGCATAATTATATTATATTATTGTCTTAATTAAACGGTTGCCTTATCTTCAATCATATAATCTCAGATCATGTGACTTCTGTCTGCTTTGAATTAGACTAACATGATTATTACATCAAGATTTGAAAATAGCAACAATAAGCCTTGAATGTGGATTGTGCATACACAGTCTGAGAGGGCACTGGGCTGAAAATGATTTTGTAAAGCGACATAGGATCAAAAGGGTTGCATAACCGTATACTAAACTAAGATAAAAAGGGGTTGGTTAGTTTGGGTATTTTGTGATTCAGACCATCACATTAAACCCTAACATGATTTGATTGGGTACAGGTTATTGTATGGATAATCCTATTATATTTGATTCTTTGATTTAGTGTTTACTATGGTGTATAAGCTTAGCCAATATGAAAAGTAAAGTACTATACTTTTAACAATATCCATCTCAAGTGTAGAACTTCACATTTTAATTACCACATGACTTTTTAATATAGCAAAACTAAAAGGTTTCTCAGCTTATAAGAGAATTAACAAAACATCATTTATAGTTTTATAGTTTTTCATGCAACAATTAGCTTCGTTACATTTTGATAATCATCCAACTGTTTTCAGTGGCAACCTGCCCTCTTTTCTCTAAGGGCCTGCTCATATTGCCAGCTCCATATGGCTCATACTATGGGAATGCATCAGAATTAACTCAAAAGAAAAGATGCAAACAAACTCATACAAACAGCACACACACTACATATATAACATATACAAGCCAATTAAATAAGCATACCCAGCCTAATCATGTCTCCATAGTAAACAAAATAAAAAGGCAATTTTCTTCCCTACTATTGGTCCCAAATACTAGATTTTAGTCGCAAAAAAGCCATCCCTCTAAGAATCCAATCCTCTTTTTGAAGCTATCTGGACTAATGATCACCACTTTATTGAAGGCAACGAGCTGAACAAGTACGGCCTGCACAAGAGAAGGTCACCATTAGAACATTTGATAAGAGGGATACATTCTTCTCACATATAAGCCTTGGAACCTTTAAAAGGCCAGTCCAAGTGTTGCTGATAACTTGAATTTCACTACTACAGCATTCCTGATAGATGGCTCCCCAGTCTGTTTTTTTTTTTAAAAATATTACTCATTTTATAGATACCAAGAGGAACAATTATATACTACAGATTAACTTGCCGCTATATGCTCTTATATGGGAATTAGATGAGACTTTTCACATCTAAGGACAACAAAAAAAGTCAATAACTATGAGCCAGTGAAGAAAACTCCTCATCTTGGATTGGTTCACATATATCACGTTCATCAAAATGGCAGCAACTTAAGAGTTGCTCATAGAGTCACAGGGCTGGAAGGAACCTTGGAGGTCTTCTGGTCCAACCCGTCCAAGACAGGAGACCTTTTGCCAACCTGGACAAATGGTTGTCCAATCTTTTCTTGAAAACCTCCAGAGATGGAGCATCCACCACACTGGGAAGCAAGCCGTTCCATTGATTAATCGTTCTCATTGCCAATTACATTTATAGAAATATGCTATCTCAAATGTATCACCTTAGAGTTGAGCTTGTGTGCTTACTATACATACATTGAGTACTGGGTCCATCGAAGATATTGCACTCATTAGTTATATGCATCCTTATTGCAGATCACAAACTGCATTTTTGCAAACTGCTTGCCCAGAACAAACTCCTATGATTATGATTTCTTTATTAGCACAGAGACCAAGATTCTTCAAGTAGAAGCATCTGTTCTAATAAAGCCTCAGAGGTCCCTGGCAATTTTTCCTGGCAATTTAAAAGAGCTAAGGAAAGTCTCTACTTGAAAC